TTCTGAATTTGTCGGAGATTTTTTTCAGCTAAAGAACGAAAATTATTTCAGTTTACTTTTCTCTTTAGGGACGTTTTATTTATAACAAGATAACATTGCTTTTCTGTGATTTTTGATGGGAGAGGTGTTCAAGAAAATCAGATTTGAACACTTCGAACAACACTTCGTGGAGAATTTCGAATAGAGGGAATTTAGCATTTTTAGGCAAGCAAAAGCAGCCACATTTCTGTAATGTGAAAACTAGTTCAAAAGCTAAGCTGAGTTAATAATTACGTTGCCTTGCACGTGTATGATTAGTAGCTCTCAGGCTTTTGGTCGTTGAAATACTGATCCGGGTCTGAATCTAAGAAAACCACATATGAAAAGAAACAAGTTATTTAGATCTCTTGATAAAAACTAATGCATGGGCGGGCGCAGATTTGGAATTTTTCATCGAGCGTTCATTGCGATATCTCCGCAAGTGAGCGGACAAGTGAGATATCAAATTGAACATGAGAAGAGAAATTCCATTTATCATTTTGTTTAACATATTAACACCAAAGGCCTTTGCTGAAAAGAAAAGTCTATTATATTAATGAATAAAAAGCGTGAAAGTCAAGTGACGTGTCAGCAGTTGTTCGGCGATATCAAACTCGCGTAAACAGTGATCATCATTTTTCGAATGTGCAGTTACAGCCTTTTTTAGGGCTGGAAATCATTGTAAAACACAGCAGTTTAAATGACCAAAAATTTCGGTAAAACAGCTTATCTTAAGCACTCTTTGAGGTGGTTAAACGCGAGCAACAAATACTTTTTCTAAATCTCTGTTATCAAGCTTATCAGTGCCTTAAAATCTTCATAATTTTCGTCTATGTGATTATGAAGAGTAGTCTAAGTCATACATTGAATGTCGGGTAATTTTCCTTTTTCAATTTCAGAAATAAATATTTCTCAAAAATACGATATGGGAAATAATCATAACTTGAAAGCAAAGAATAGTAGACTCGAGAAGGAAATTTACAAAAAACAAATTGTAAATTTGTAAAACAATTGTAAAAACAATTGAGGAGAAAAGTTGGAGAAATGTTTAATTTGGTCACAGGGAAGTAGAAGGGGAAAATTACGGAAACTTAGGAACTGTCTAGCAATCACATGGTGACTACCACAATGCGAAAGGATGTCATGAGGAAGTGCTTACCATAGCCATGGAAAGTGCTAAGAAGGCAATAGAGTGAAAGGTTTCGAAAACCTAGGAATTGTGTCGTAATTTCTCGATGAATATCACAAGCTGAAGAATGTCATGAGAAAGCACTTGCCATCGCATCAGAAATTAGTGACAGTGCAGGGGCAGCAGAGGCGCACACTAACCTAGGAGCTCCGTCGCAATTACTTGATGAAGATCACAAGGCTAAAGAGTATCATGAGAGAGCACTTTCCGTCACAATGGAAACTGGTGATTGAGAAACAGAAGCGATATTGCATTGTACCGGTACCGTGACGTCATAATCCTTATCGTATTACAGTATAAGTAACTCGATTAGTAAACGATTAGTTGAACTGGTGGACGCACGTGTTTAGATATTCGCCTGAGGACTAGAGTCACAAATGTTTGTACGTAAATTCACTTTAAATTGTTTCGCTTTTCAATATCCTGTTACGTCTCTAAGTAAATCGAATCAGTCAGCGTTTTGTGATTTATTTTCAGTTGACCTTTAGCTTTATAAGGAACATAAGTGAATAGAGTAAAAGAATGCGACAACGAGCGTTTATTGAGTATATCCAAAGCATTCATAGTCAACAACAAGGCTTATTGAATTTTTGAAGAAGGCCAAGGATTGTATTGAGAAAGCACTCGCTATCAGCAATGAAATCGGTGATAAACTAACAGAAGCACATTGTTTCAAAACCATGCAAAAGCTTTTGTAAGCCTTGGAAAATGTAGTGTAGCGAAATGGTACCTCGAGAGAGCCCTCTTAAATCTTTAAACCCTAAGAGTGTATTTCATCTAATTTCTCCTTACAATATCACTACTCAATCACATTAAGGTCATGAGAATAAAGGAAATGATCACCAACTAAAAAAGCTCTTGATCGCTAGACAAATTCTCCTTGTCAGCACCTTAGTAAATGTACAGAACAGTATGGAGAATATGAATGCTGATGTTAGGGTGTAAAGGGTTAACAAGCCATGATATTGGTGACACTGCGCTTGAGATTTCACCGCTGGTCGGTCTTTCACATTGGAAGGCTTCGCATTCCAAGTCTTAGGAAGGGGATTCGCATCTTCGGCGATGTATTTTGATATATGAAAATTTGCCAAATTCCTTACAAGGAAACGCACAGTTTAAAGTATCCCTTTTAAAAATAAAGGGAGCTGAAATCTATAAATTTATCAGTCATCTCATTTGTTTTCGCACTGGAATGCCTCGAGAGCACCCTTTGTTGTGGATTTGGGAAACGCACGATGCCTAGGAGAGCTGATAGCAGCTAAATCCGTTGAAAATCACATCTCAACCTGATCCAAAAGCATGGTCTGGGATGAATTAAAGTAACGGAGACACTTTATTCCGATGTTCCGAAAAAGGTCGACAACAAAACTCTCATTGGTGAGAGAGCGTTTGTTGCTTCACAGAGTTGATCCACACGCAGATTCACTGTTTTTATCAAATCCGTCATAACGCGCAGCTCGGGCAGACATACTAGGCGGTACGACAGGAGTTGGTTGCTCGGAAGCGAAAGCACGAACGAACGTCCACAGCTCGTTGATTTCCTGTCGAAGAGCCTTCATCTCAGAGGAAAAAAGCCTCACCGATTCGGCCAAAGATTGTAATTATGGTTGGGAAGAACCGGCAGCACCATTCTCGTGAATATGAAAGCGACCTTCGCAGTAATGAACACTACTTAAGTAGTAATGAAAAGAAGGCCTGAATAAAATTCAGGCCTGTACGAGATTTGAACCCATGACCTCAGCGATACCGGAGCACTGCACTTCATTACTGCGAAGATCGCTTTCATATTCACGTCTTTAACCGCAGTTCAAATGTATGACTTCCATATATTCACAACCAGCACCAATCCCGTTGGTGAGAGGAGTACTCTCAGCATTCGTTGGCTCGTCAACCTCCGCGAGTTTGGACTGTTTGTTATCACTGTGACCGGTACAGTATCTCCAGGACGACCGAATTCATGAGAATTCATGACTTTGACTCTTTACAACCTAAACACCTACTTTGACGACCCAATGGGAAGAAAATCTAAACAGTACAGGATCTCTGATGTGCGCTCGAAGTAAAGAGTGACGCGAAATGAAACACGAAACTCCTAGAGCCTGATAATAGAGGATGTGTGTTGCGCAATTAGTCCCTTAGAACACGTACTTGTCCTAAGGGTGTAAATTAGATGGCAGCGAATCCGAGGCTGTGTGAAAGACTTTGGATACGAAATATTCATTTGCAATGCAATACTGATGTCAACTATATTTAGTGTCATTGAGCGAAATGGGTAATATGGCAATGCTGCTCTGAAGCTAAAAACTTTTTTTTCTATTAAAATCCTTATTAACTTGAATCAGATGATTATAAACTCACTCGTTTTCCGTTTGACCGGCTCGACAACGATAGCCTCCGCCTTTGCAATCTCTGAAGAAAGGAGCAACTTGCAATGAAACTGCCCGATGACTTCTCCTTGTGCCTCGTGATACAGCTGATTATTTCGTCAAAAGTTAGCTTTCGGTTTGCCAGGGAAATTACTCTACAGCAACGAAACTCTGGAGCACTGACTAAGGGGAACCATAAAATGTTATGGCAACAAAAAACTTCGTAACATTCTTAACATAGATTTCGCCATAGAAAACATAACAGACGCAAAAACTAAAAATTCAGTTACAGGAGTTTTTTGGTCTAATCTTGACCTGAACACCGAAGGCGAGAAACCGTCTTTGTCAGTCTTCGTCGAAATCTTTGTTTAATGGACGCGGTTCTCCTTCGTAGGGCTGAACCGTACTCGCCACTTCCATTTCCTCTTTACTGCTTGAGTACGATGTATCACAACTTCAATGTTGTTGAAGTTGCCTGGTGTTTGACGATAAAATTAAAACATATCTTATTTAGAAGCATTCTCAGAGCTTCATCACCTTTGGTGTTGGGAATATGAAAAGAAATAACATATTAGCATAACCCTTTCAGCAAAAATGAATATTGTAAGCAGTTGATAATTTCTTATTTCGATGACGGTCTTACTTTGTAACCAGAGTAATTGTTATCTTTTCTCTCTGAAAGAAAATAGTCTATTTAACTCCACAAAAATTTGTCTTAAGCTGTTAGTGATTATGGCATACTATCCAATCGCGAGTTCGACGTGAAAGCGGATGTTCAGTTCTCCAGTAGTTAAAACTCGGCGTGAGGTATTTCAATTATCTTGCGGTAAGATATATTTTCATTTAGATAATCTGCTTAATAGTAAGAGAGTAATTTGATCTGGAAAAGTTAGTCTCATACCAGAATTCCTGGAAATTTCTACTTCCTATTCTTTCGATTCTTTTCAGGCTCGGTTTTTTTTAGACCAATTTCATGTCGAATTCTCAATCAATAAAGCAATTCCTAATTGCATAAATAAAAGGAAACCTCCTTTTTTAATACTATGTTAACTAGGCAAATTTTGGTTTGACGGCGACTTCTTCATTCGACATCTGGCCGCCAGCGTGGAGCTCCCACAGGCTAGTCGCTTTCATAAAGGTTTTTTTTCTTATCTTGACAGAGTGGTACCCTTTCTGTCTTTTCTGGGCCTGATTTTTTCCTTCTTCTTCTTTTTTTAATTAGGACTATCTTCCGCGTTTGATTTTTCCTCAAGCAGAGAGCTTCCACAAGTGCGCGATGTAAACAAAATACGCAAATGACATGAAAACGAGCCCCGAGATGAGCGGTTGCCGCGAAAATCCCCCCGGGGATTCACCCAGGTCCGATATTATGACACCTTCCTGATTTATTAACTTTTATTTGAAAGTATGTTTTACTAAATCACTTAGGTGCTTCAGAAAATTTCAGAAAATTTTTTTTTAATGGAAATGTCAGGTTAAATTTTTTAGTCAAATAAACGAAAAATCTACTTTTTCGGCCTCTGAGGGTGGGAAGTAACGTAAATTGGCCACCGTAGAGAGTTTCTAAGCTGAAGTTTCTACCATTAACCATTCGTCGCTCTGACAAAAAATATAAATTGTAAGATGGCTTTTTTATGTTCTCTGTTGAGGAATGATTGACAGGCTTTCGACTGATACGCACGCAAGATTTTTTTGGTATATTAATAGTTATAATGTGTAAAACGGGCGTAGATCGAGTCTGAAAGACTCAGCGGTGTATCCCCAGGACAAGGTTAACGGAGTACCTCACCTTCCCCCCCCACACTCCCTCTCTCTCAATAACTAGATAACATTGGTGGTTTTCCTAGAAGAATTTGAACCAAACATAAAGCTGCGCTTTTCAGTAATTAGACTTAAAGTCATTAATTACGTTAATACAGTTGCTCATTAAATCGTCTACTGCTTTACTGCGAGAAAGTAAAAAGGTTTAAGCATTAACTTGGTATTCTATCCTTAGCAGCTCTATACGTCAAATGAACGCCGTGAAGATAAACGCGCAGCAAAAGTAGAGTCGCCCAGATACTTTGGTGCTACTCTGATTCATTGCTATGTCTGCGTGCTTTTCCACGATGAGTTAAAATCATTTGCAATAAACGCCAAAAAGATTAAAGTGTCCTGAGTAAAATTGGGTTACTCCGAGAGAAACGTAACTCTGAGCTGTTCCTGAATGTTCTTCCCCGGAGAGTTTAACTCTTACGTCTTGAGCACGCTGAGAGGACTAAAGTGCTGAAGAGGGGTCACCTGGGGCATGTTGGGTTACTCCAGGAGAAAAGTGACTCTTAGCTGTAGCTGGGTGTTCTTCCCCGAAGAGCTTAACTCTTATGTCAAGAGCACGCTGAAGGGACTTAAGTGCTGACGAGAGTTTGCCTGAGTCATGTTGGGTTACTCCGAGAGAAAGATAACTCTGAGCTGTGTCTGGGTGGTCTTCCCCGAAGATCTTACTTCTTATGTCAAGAGCACGCTGGCAGGACTGAAGTGCTGATGATAGGTCGCCTGAGTCATCTTGGGTTTTTACTCCGAGAGAAAAATAACTCTCAGCTATGTCTGGGTGGTCTTCCCCGGAGAGCTTAACTCTTATGTCAAGAGCACGCTGTTTGGACTGACGTGCTGACGAGAGGTCGCCTGAGGCATATTGGGTTACTCCGAGAGTTTGATAACTCTGAGCTGTGTCTGCGTGTTCTTCCCCGAATATCTTTACTCTTATGTCAAGAGCACGCTGGAGGGACTGAAGTGCTGACGAGAGGTCGCCTAAGTCATGTTGGGTTTCTCCGAGACGAAAATAACTCCGAGCTGTGTCTGGGTGTTCTTCCCCGAAGATCTTAACTCTTATGTGAAGAGCACGCTGGAAGGACTGAAGTGCTGACAAGAGGTCGCCTAAGGCATGTTGGGTTACTCCGAGAGAAAAATAACTCTGAGCTTTGTCTGGGTGTTCTTCCCCGAAGAGCTTAACTCTTATGCAAAGAGCACGCTGTTTGGACTGAAGTGCTGACGAGAGGTCGCCTGAGGCATATTGGGTTACTCCGAGACGAAAATAACTGTGAGATGTGTATGGGTGTTCTTCCCCGAATATCTTTACTCTTATGTCCAGAGCACGCTGGAGGGACTGAAGTGCTGACGAGAGGTCGCCTGAGTCATGTTGGGTTACTCCGAGACGAAAATAACTGTGAGATGTGTATGGGTGTTCTTCCCCGAAGATCTTAACTCTTATGTCAAGAGCACGCTGAAGGGACTTAAGTGCTGACGAGAGTTTGCCTGAGGCATGTTGGGTTACTCCGAGAGAAAGATAACTCCGAGCTGTGTCTGGGTGTTCTTCCCCGAAGATCTTAACTCTTATGTCAAGAGCACGCTGGAAGAACTGAAGTGCTGACAAGAGGTCGCCTGAGGCATGTTGGGTTACTCCGTGAGAAAAATAACTCTGAGCTGTGTCTGGGTCTTCTTCCCCGAAGAGCTTAACTCTTATGTCAAGAGCACACTGTTTGGACTGAAGTGCTGACGAGAGGTCGCCTGAGGCATGTTTGGTTACTCCGTGAGAAAAGTAAGTTGGAACTGTAAAATAAAATAAAAATGGTCATGTAAAAGAGAACAATTTACAGTAACAATAAAAATCTAGAAAATCAAGTTTCATGGAAATAGTTTTAATCATGAGCTTCTTGCTTTTTTCCGTGAAGTTGTAAAAGTAAAAACATCCCACAAGAGTCACAATGCCCGTAAATGCAGTGGGTGCAGTCTACTTCTTGCACAAATTGTTTTGAAATAAAAGACAACAAATTGTTAAAGGTGGCACTCTGAATATAGAAGAAATTCATCTTATGGAAGAAGAAAGGATTTCAAGACGTGTACAAAGCATTTTTGCGAAAACTGGAAGTTATTCCGTCGAACTATTACTACGTAAGTACACTCCCTAAAATTGCTGATGTCTCTAAGTAGTGCTTACAAGACTCTGCTACACTGTATCTTAAAATTGCTGTTAATCTAAAAGTCATGTACAGTTTTTTAATCAGTTTACACCTGTTTGATCTTGATCCATATTAAGTTTCAAATGATCTATTTCCCCTCCAGCAAAGTGAAGTCTTCAACTTTTACCTTAATAACATTATCCTGTGCTACTAATTTGTTGACAACTGATCTCACTTCTTCGAGACACTCGACACCTGATCTTACTTCTTCGAGACACTCGATATATGATCTGGTCTCCTGTCTAAGACTTTCTTCCAATTTATGTACTTCTTTAGTGGGAAAGTCAGACTCTGTAAATCCACCGATATACGCTGGAGCTTAAGTAACAACAGAGTCGTATTCTGAGGCACACAGTAAGTTTAAGCTCTTACATTATATTTATGCATATCCCAAGACAAAACACACTTCCCCAAAATGCATCCCAAGCATAATATTGTTTAACCCCCCACAAATGACACAAAAAACGAAGTAAACTCACTAAGACTTTTAAACATGTGAAAGCGAGAAGACCGAAAATGCGTCTTTTCCTCGTCCTCTGCTTGGTCAAATTGGGTTGTTTCATTAGAAGATGGTTCAACTGGAGGAGTTAAGGTCGGGGATTCCTTTTCTGTTGGCTCTCTATCTTTTGTAAAAGTCCCTGCGTCAAAAAAATTATCGTATCCTTTAGGTAGCATACAACAGTTCCTGAGATCTTTTGCTTTCAGCAGGAAATGAGTAGTAGAGAAATAATTCTGGGACAGCCTAAAAGACGGCTTGAGACAACTTTTGGGTTCTACCAGTTTTGACCACTTTTGACTAGTTTTGACCAGTTTGGAGAAAGAGTTACAACCCACTGCAATCTAGTTGTGTCAAGCTGTCTGTCACACAGTTCCAGGCAGACCCAAAAATTTTCTCAAGTTGGCTATAACGCTGTCTCAGAATTGCGATTGACTACACCTGGGAACAGTGCCAGAGACAGCTTGACAAAAAGAGTTCTCATCAGCTGAGGAAGCTCGACTCGACCTCAGCAAAGCAATGAAAAGCCTGAAAGCCACCTTTATTGCATTTGACAGTTGGTCACTCTTGAGGCATTTCATTTGACCCTGAATCTGATAATCTGACCTGTCAATCTGTAAGAGTGACACATCTCTATCACCAAACCCCTTCTGGAGTTAGCTCAGTTCCAGGAGGAACAAGCTTAAGCTCTCCTTTGACAAATTTTTAATATAGGATGGGCTCACCTTCATTCAATACTTATCTCTCTATATTGTAAACCTCCATTGACCATACTGAATCAGTCGCTCTTCTCTGACCACCTTTCAGCTCACCAGGGGTATAGAGGTATCTAACATTCTTTGAGGAGTCGAGTCTCTTCTCTTTCAAGCTAACAGGTGTTGAATAAGAAGTTGAACTCTTAGCATCAATCGACTTGTCTTTGATTGCATCAACAGGTTTCTTTCCCATTAATCGGGTTGCCTTATGATTCAAAGCCGAGAAAACTTCTGGAAGCCTCTTTACTCAATCAGTGGATCTCTTTCCAGATGTGAAGTTCATCTCCTGACTGTACTGGTAACTAAAGAGGCGTTCAGCCAAAAAGAAGTCGAATCTCTTGAAGATTCCTTGAATTCTGTGAACGTTTACTATCCCTTTTCTTATTCTCACATCGTGCCTTTCCATCTCTCTTGTGACATCACCCATGAACTCACGCCCAGGATCAACCTCAAGAATCTTCGACTATCTCAGTAGTCCTTGCTTATACATTATTTGAAAAGCTACTGAGAATTTAGAAGAATCCTTTGAAGTGAGAGTTTCAGCCGCTTTGAATCTGCCTACAACATCAGCAGCTGTCAATGCGTACTTATAGACCTTTCTTCCATCAGTCAGTGTCTTCAAGAGCTTGTTATCTGTCATTTTAATAGCGTCAACATAATGATTCTCAATTCACCGGTCTGATCCACGGGGCTCTTCTTCCCAGTTACTCTGGCCAACACTCGAGATTTGCTTCTGTCGGCTGTGGCTGTGACTGCAGCTGTTCTCTACTAAGAAGAGCCATCATCTATTTCCTCTTATGATACAGCCTAGTCAGTGAGAGAACTATAATTGCGATTGAGAGTATCCGAGTGACCAAGAATGACGAGGGTGGGAGTTTAGCCCTGCTGTCGCTTGAGCTTTGCTTCACACTGGCTTCCGTACTACCACCGTCACTCGATTTTAGCTTCTTTGCTTCTCTCACCCTTCTGTTGTGCTGGGCAAGTCGTATCAACTCATCCAAAGTCCTTTTTGTTTAGTCTCTTTCTCAGTTGAAGTGACCTACTGTTGAGGTACTGGTTCCCCAGGTTCATTGTCAGCCAATTCACGTCGGGATACGTGATTTGCAGGCACTTGCTCAAGTCCTTGTCTAGTACATCTCAAGTACCTGTCAAGTCCCTTTTAAGTCCCTGTCAAGTACCTGCTCAAATACCTGTCAAGTTCCTGTCAAGCACCTGTCACTCACTCTTGAGTGACAAGAGCTTCACCCCCTTCCACATCTGTACTCAATACCGTCAATGATCATTAGACTGTTCTTGATTCCCTTGGTAAGTCTGTGCGCACTCACTCCAAAGAAGTCCATAGCCCTTTTCAGAGCTCTGAATTCAAACCGCTCTTGCTCCTTGGTGTTGCTTCTCTTGTAACTCTCTCTTAGTGAAGACTGAGGAGTTCATTATCGTCATGTCCACGAGCACAAAATGAGTCATCTCGACCTCAGATTCTCTCTTCCCTAGGATCAGATCAATAAGGTCCTTCTTCTTCAAGTAATAGCAGTACTTTAGACCAGCTTCTCCTGCCATGCTTCACAATTAAACCAAACTCAAAGCCTCCACTTCGGTTTTGCTCACGCTCATCATTCAAGTAGGTGCAAAAAAGGTGAATTTTGCAATAGAACCACCGCCGACCAACCTAGCAACTACCGTGTTTAGATATGGTCAGAGAGAACCCATTCTGTCTCTTCTCGAAGTAAACTTTGAGCTTTTTCCAAGTGGTAACAGGGAGCTTAGCTTTTTTTCTGGTACCTTTTTTTTATCTTATCCAAGAGATCGCAGTTGATGATATAAACGTTGAATGAACTCAAGCGATTGATGATGTTTGGGGGTTTCAGACCTTGTAAAATGGAAGTGATTGAACAAGACGTATACAATTACATCTTGGGGTAGTCTTGAAGCTAAACTCTTGCCAATGAGTGATTCAGATCACCGAGAGCAGCTCCCTGTTCTCGTTGCACGTGGGAAGGCAAAAGAAGATGATCAGGCAAGACCTAACTCAATGCCAAGTCAAGAGGCAGTTTGAGAAGTAGGTTGAGATGTACTACAAGAGGTATGAGGCTTCACCGTCTTCAAATATCTGAAGTGATATTGTCGTCACCTTCCTTCAGCTCCTGAAGGACCTGAAGGACAACTTTTCGGTCAGGAGAGAGAGCTGGAGATGGCTGCCGATCGACTGAATCTGAAGTACGCAAAGTACATGGCAATAGAAAGTGCTGCTCTTATCACTGCAAAGAACATCAGCTATGACTTGGCTGCTGTGGAGGAGCTGGATACCAGTCTTTGCGAGGAAGCAGACTAAGTGGTCGACTAAGTAGCTTAGCCATTGTTGTGAAGGAGGTAGGCTGGGAGGCTTGGAGGTTGTTTTGTGAAAAAAGCTGTCGATTTTTTTGTTTCTCTAAAATAGACGGCATGAAACGACCTGAACTGCTTGTGGAGACGAGATGACTCGGACTCAGAGGCTACTTGAGGCTCAGAAAGTGGGAACTCCATGAGTTGATACAAATAACCCCTATCCTTGCCCTTCCTGTTCTAGACATCAACACTCCAATGCTAAGAACGAGCAGGTATGTCAGGCCGAGGATTGAAAGAGGTGAGAGAGATGAGCAAAGGAGAGAGATCAGAGCTATCAAAGAGACGCTTGGTCTGCAAAAGAGAAGTGTCACTCTCACTCTAACAGATTGACAATTCAGATAATTATGTTCAGGGTCAAATGAGATGCCTCGAGAGTGACAGACAACTGTAGCTGCCAAACACAATAAAGGTAGCTGTTGGGCTGTTCATTGCTGTGCTGAGGTTTTGTCAAGCTGCCTGTGGCACTGTTCCCAGGTGAAGTCGATGGCAATTCTGAGACAGTGCTACAACCAACTTAAGACAATTTTTGAGTCCGCCACGGACTCTTTGCTAACGCGTTGAAAGGGCTTGCAAGGCAAATTCAAATTGAGGGTGTTGAGTACAGCCCCAAAGAGCTAATGGAAGTGGTAAGGCCTAAAGTCTTGAGGATCATGAGGGAGAGCCGTCACACAAAGGTCAAGATGATACTCCCTCGTGAGATGGTGAGCTGTTCATTGCAGCGCTGAGGTTGTGTCAAGCTGTCTGTGTCATTGTTTGCAGCCCTCTCTCACAACTGGTCAAAGCTGGTCAAAACCGGTCAAAACCGGTCAAAACTGGTGAACTCAAAAATTGTCTCAAGCTGTATTTCAGGCTGTCCCAGAATTGTCATTTCCCTACTACTAAATGCATCTCTCGAACAATAAAGTACGAACAAAAAGGACAGGTTTAAGTGAGCAAGACCAAATGTCTTAGTATATCTATAATACTCTGTCAATGCAAATGTTAAATATCATGATACCATTTTGCAGGTAAACCAGTTTAAAAGCCTGATTCTATTTTTTGTATTAGATTTTTCTCCCTTGACTCTATATTCTCAACTGATGCCTAAACTTACATACCAGAGCTCAAGGCTGCATTGCGAGTTAATTCTTTCTCAGGTTCTTTATCTTTTGAACCAGCTGCAAAGAGACAATAATGGTATTCAACAACTTTATGCACTTTTAAGGAAAACGAGCGTAGGCTATTTAAGATTTTATAGCATCAAATTACTACTTTTTAAGCTCGTAAAAAACTAACTCAAATTCATTCCTCATTTAAACCATGTTGGTGACATGACTAGAGAGTTACTTTAGGGGGGGGATGAATATAACCTAAATAAAATAATCCACATGAGAGACACCAGTTCTTCCTGCGTTTCTTCCTCTTTACAGAAGGTTTTATGAATGAGACCAAAAGCTTGTAGGAGTCACCAATTCCATTGAGAACCTGACATTCTCATGCAGTATAAGTACCAATGATGAAAATAAAGCCTGTGTAAAATTGTAAAAGTATCATTCGGCTGAAAAAAAGTTGACATCCCTCACCTTCAGAATCAGACCGTCCAGAATCAACTTCAAAAGATCCACAAGAAGAAGTTCTCGCATCAGCAAAGTAATCGCTCGAGGTGTCGCCCTTGTGGGATGGCATGCCCCTAAAATCTTCTTCATCTCCAGACTTAGCTGTAGAAATATAAGAGCTACATATTAGTGAAACTTTGTGTTGTCTTAGAACGAATTTGAGCACATACATGTACATGCATCGGAATAAGGTGTATCAGAGCAAAAATACCAGGTTTTCCATTGCATAATTACTAAACAGATGGCGCAGTTCTGTCAATTGAATCAATTACTGACATATTTTGACCCGTGATAGCCAATGTGATCAGTGAGTATCTAAGAACCGTATTATAAGGATAAATTACCAATAACTTAAAAAAGATCCACAAATTGATCTCGATCTAAGAGGCTCAGTCACCTCTCATGTGAATCACAATGTTGTCGAACCCATGGTTCTGATATTTGTCCACGAACATTGTATGTGACAAGTAGTGAACAGTTCCGAATGCAAAGCCATTAGCTACAACTGGTGACATTTTCCCCCCACAGTATCTTGAGAAGCAGTCCAGCAGAATATCGCAGGCGCATGTGGGCCGTAGTGTCAAGCGTTCACGGTACGTAACGATTATGTGTATGTATGGTGTTCCATTTCCACCAAAAATCAAAGTTGCAATCGGACATCCAATTTTATCGAACAACATTTGCCTCAATTTTTTGACTCAATGAGCAACATCGTGCATCATTTTTAACTCGTGAATTGCGCGCATGCGCAAGAGCGAGTTGTAGATAAGATGTGGGGAATACCGCTCGCTCGCTCGCTCGCTCGATTCCTGTAAACTTTTTTTCGATTTTAGGCTTTTGAGTGCATTTGATAGTTTTTGGCGAGCAATAAACAAACGAAATTGCAACCTTTGTTGCTAAGAATAGTGGTGGGGTGACAAAGAAGCCAATGATAATCTTAAAAGAGTTTTTTTTTCGTTTTAGTTTCAACAAGCGGCGCCAGCGACTGACAGGCATGCAAGGATTCACACTGAAATAACAGAATCTTCGTTTTTCATAAAATTGTAATTTACAATCCTTGAACTTGAAAACAATCCGAAGATTCATTGAAAATATTACTTACTGCGAAGCGCTCGGAGTTTACAGATGTTCAGAAGCTTTTTCTGTTACGGCGTGAGATTGAGGACAAAATCGATCATTACGTTTCGTATCGCGTGTTTTTCCTGTGTGAAGCAACAGAAGATGCCGGCGACTAACGAAATTACAAGTTAACACGAAAATCAAATAACACCTAAACAAACAATTTTAGCTGCAGTTCAGTGAATTTTTAAAGAACAATTTTCATTTAAGTTTCAAGACAATTTGAAGATTCAAAATTCATATTACGTACTAAAATTCGAAAGTTATATACCACAAAATTGATAAATAGGCCTGAAATGAAATTCTATCATGTTATTGATTATACGTTGCCTAGCACGTGCCTAAAATCTACCCAGGCGGAGATCCAAAATGACAGTGGCAGTCTCGGCCTAGGTATATCACTTAAAACTCATTCTCGTTTGTCTCATTTGATAAAGAGGGAATCGTTAATGTTTTTATTAACACAGTATTGCCTTGATTTTCTAATATTTACAAGTGATAGACAGTAAATTTCACTTTTCACCCACATTTACTTCCAACCTTTTCTTTTGAACCAGAAACAGAAATGATATACGTTTAAAACACATTACATCATCCACCCTTGTCAAATGCAATAGCATGATCATTTCAATTGTAATGCCTTCTTATCCCAACGTTACTTTGTTTCTTTGCTACATTAGCAAACACTGAACTACTGCTCGTACTCTAAATATGACAATCAACCACAAAATTTCCTAAACCAGATAACATTAAACATAATCCAAATAATCATCTGTCAATTCACGAGTTTGCTCACAGAGCACTTTGATTCATTCAGACATGGTTTGATGCTACTCTGGTTTACAGATTTAATGAATGTAACCGAGGAAGTTACAATTCATTCACCCAACGTTTCGATACTCCTGTCTAGTGCCTTCATCAGGGGTGATCTAAATGCTGTAACAAGAGGTCCTTCTATATGATCACTAATTAGCGCCTTTTTCCTGACGAGGTGTAAGCCGCCATCTTCACAATTTAAAGGAGCGTGGGCGTAGTCAATATGCCAAGCTTCCAAACAAAGGCGCTGGTGGTAACGCTGATTAGTGGTGATAATTTTAGAATTATCCCACACAATTGTATAGTTAGTTAGGCATGTGTGCTCCGATAAAGCTGAATTTTCCTTTTTGCAAAAGAAAACCGCCTTTTGATGCTCTTTCAAACGTATACCAAACTGACGTTTAGTCTGTCCGATGTATTCGTTGTCATAGTTATTGCAAGGAATAGAATAAATAGCGTCGGTTCGTTGTTCTTTTGTGACAGGATCCTTCGGTTTGGCAAAAATATGCCTCAAAGTCTGAAAAGGTTTTTGAGCAACTTTAACGTTGTGGCTATTGAAAATTCTCCTGATGGGTTCCGTAACACCGTGAATGTAAGGAATAACATCAAAACCGGTCGCTAATTCCCTTGCATCAAGAGTGCTACTAGTTGTAACTGGTTTTGGCAGTTACGGAGAAAGGTTTTTCTATAGCCATTTGCCTTTGGGACATTAGAAACATATTTCCTCTCCTCAGCCTTCGAATCGAGTGAAGATGGTAGACAGTCAGCCCTCCTGAGTAAAGTTTTGGCTACAGGCTTCTTATGGCAAACAGGGTGGTGAGAATCGAAAGCGAGGTATTTGTCGGTGTGGGTAGGTTTACGGTAGACACTTTTCTCTTAAGTACCCTAAACCCCTTTGGACACATTTAAATCAAGAAAGGGCAAATGTCTATCCTTTTCACGCTCAAAGGTGAATTGGATAGACGGCTCTACTGAATTCAAATGCGATAGGAGGCGCTCCGCTTCATTTCCGGATACTGCAGAAATAACATCATCGACATATCGTTTCCATAAAGGTTTTAACCGGTGAAGTGGCTAAAGCCCTTTGTTCCTCGTCCTCCATTACCATGTTAGCAATGACAGCAGAGACGGGCAAACCCATAGCTCTATCAAAAACTTGTTGATAGTAGGTGCCGTTATATGCAAATTGCGTGGTTTTGAGGCAAAAAGACAGCAAATGAATAATGTCCTCCAGAGGCAAAGAAGTTCTTTGTACTAGGGAAGCATCTTCTCGGAGTCTCTGCTCCGCAACCTTAACGGCAAGATAAACTGGGATTTTAGTGAAGAGCGAAACAACATCGAAAGATACTAATTCTTTAAAAGCGTTAAGAGTCTTATCTCTTATGAAATCCGCAAATTCGCAGGAATTTTTGACAGTGTAATCAGTATTCCCAATAACAGGGGACAAAATTCTTGCAAGATAACCAGAAATTGCATAAGTCGTAGAATTAACAAAAAAGACAATGGGTCTCAAAGGAATTCCCGGTTTATGAATTTTAGCTAAGCCATAAAAAACGTGGACATAAGCCGTGACCACTGTATAACATTTTATACGTAGAGTCACTAATTTTACCAGATTTTTTCAAATCAAGCAACAATTTGTTTAATTTCTTTGAGTTTCACTGGTAGGATCAGAGTTTAAGACTGCATACGTACTCTTGTTATTAAACAGAGACAAAGCTTTGTCGTGATATTGCTGTTTGTCCATAACCACAACACAATTACCCTTGTCAGCAAATAATACGAGCCTGTCCAGGTCCTTTTTAAGAGCTATAAGCGCATTGAAAATATCCTTTGGAATGTTTTTGGGAGGAGGTTTAGCATGCCTGAGTATGCTGCTTACTTCTGCTCTCACAAAGTGCCTACAGTCGTCGTTGAGTTGAGAGATGCTCCCCTCGACAGCGGCGTTTGGTTGCCGTGTGAACTTTAATATATTTCATTTTTCATTGTTAGCATTCAACTTTAATCTTTGCTTAGTAAGTGTCGAGTTTATAGACATAAATCTAAAAAGGCCCTAATTTATAAGGAGAAAATGCCCTAACATTCTAACATCAGTAGTAATCTATTATAATCTTGCACACTTCAATGACAATGTTAGACTTTGCCTTCTCAAGTTCGAGCTTGTCAAGCCGTTTTAGTTTCTCTCGTGCAATGAATGTTGAGTCCTCAGGCACGATCCCAGATCTGCTGATAATTATGGGATGTTAGAAATGACGTCATTGCTACGGCTTAAGCGGGATTCCCCTTGGCCCCTGAAGACGAGTTTGGACTGAGCGATTATTGCCTTTGTAATTTAGTTGAAAGATTGAATACGTGGACTGATCATTGTGACAGATTTGATATGGGAGTTATAGTTTTGAGGCTTGATTATTTTTAGCGGAATGCTAGTAAACCTTGACATTGACCAGGAGAAAGTGGATACAGTGGGAAATCTCCATTTAATCGCCGATGCCATGAAACTATCACAATATTCAATATTACGAGCGAAGGATACCGCCCCCTCTGTAAACTTAACAGGACGACTCGGAAGGCCATCGTTTGAGATCTCCAGGGGGCACCTGTCTTTTCTGTTGGAACAAGGCTTCAAAGTACAGGAAATAAGTTCCATTATCGGTGTGGGAAAGATAGCAGTTGAAAGAAGAATGGCTGATTGCTAATTTATTAATAATTACAGGTAATATATATATATCAGTACTGAGAAGAAATAATTTTTAATATTAACGTGTGTAATGTTAAAATGATAAGTGTATCTGAAAGGAATTGTTGTTGGCTGCTGAAAAACTGTTCTCCTCATTCCTGGATTTGAGGTGGACATGTCAACCCTTTCACTCCCGAGATCTGAAAGCTAATACTCCTAACCGATTACCATATATTTCTATGTTGACTATTCCCGATAATTTGGTGTTATACATCTTAATTCTCATTACCTGTCTTTTTGACAGTGCATGAAAATTGTAAGGAGAATTTAAATGCTGGTCACTCCTGGGAGAGAAAGGGTTAATATAACTAAAAATTTGCCATACCTCACAAGCTTGCAGATGTGGTGCATCACAGAATCCTCAAGTTTTCGGGGTCATTAGTTTGAGACCAAGTGGTACATTTTTTTTCATTTGTTCTTTTGTTTGTTTGCTTGTTTTGTTTCTTCCAATTCAGTGTTTCTTTTAATGTTCATTTCTTTAACTCTTTCTTTCTTTCTTTCTTTTCAAAATGGCGGAAAGATTTCCGTCTTTTGGGAGTTCTTTTGCTTGGTTTTGCGCGAGATTTTCGCCGTATGTAAAGCTTAATATTTGGCTCCCCTGCTCATACTTAGAAGAGGAAAAGTAAGCAGTTTTAGGAGAAAAATTACCTACTCCAAACTATGAGAAATTGATCCAAAACAGGCTATTACGAAAGGAAAACCTTCGAAGGAGAGAAGGCGATGACCACTTTTTGGACTCGTTTGTTACGCAAGGCGAGATCAAACGATTTGTAGTGGCACTTGATGGCAATTTACAGAGAACGTATGGGAGATTATTGTAGTTATCAGGAGTTATATTTCCCCGCATGAAACCTCGAAAGATGCCTTACATTTTGGTGATGGTAAGTGTGTTGAGGTTCGATTATCATTGCTAGAACACCACTTTTTTTACAAAGTTATCGCGATCGCTGCTACACAGCAAAAAAAATTATTATCCAACACAAGCCTTACTAAGCGGCATCCATTTTTAAAGGGCCTGAAAAGCTTGCATAATGAGTGATATCCGCCATCTTGCCTTAGACTGTTGGAAATGTCAATGAAAACGGTGAGCTTCGAGGAACAGATAATGTGCAAGGACAAATTTAAGCTTGTAATTTTCATGCCAAATGAAGCCCGGTTATTGTATTAAAATATCTTTCACATGTTTTTACACCAAAAGGGACAAAATGCTTGCAAACAGTTTATCATTTAAGGCATGACATGTTCACTTTTCTGTGTTCGCTGGCGTGGCTCTTTGAACAGACAAATATGTCCCTAATTGTTCTATAACAACAACAAAACGCTCTTCTCATATCTTCCAAGAGCTTTAAACAAAGACTTGAACAGGAATTGGACATAAGGTTTAAAAACTAGGGAATATCCGTGGGGCACATGAGGCAAACATAGATACTTTGTGCAATTACTTTTGCTTGCTATAATATTTTGCAAAACCACAATTTCAATTTATTCACTTTCAATCATTAGATAAGGTTAATTTATCTTAAGAAAGTACCGTTTCAAATGCCGAGGAACACGAGCAAATCATGTAACAGTTTCAGGAACACTTACCTGGAGTAGTTAACTTGATGGTTTGGGGTCTGATCCTATCCCAATCTACATGTTCTTTGCTTTTCTTTGTTTTTCGATGCATTAGGTTAAATTTATATGAAAGAAATGGGAATCAATTAACAGCTACGGAGTTAATAATGATGATAATAATTATAATAATAACAATAATGATTTAGCAGTGGACGGTGGGGGGGGGGGGAGGGGGAGGGGGGAGGAAACTAGAGGACCTGGAGAAAAACCCTTGGAGCAAGGATGAGAACCAACAACAAACTTAACCCACATGTGATACCAGGTCCTGGAATCGAACCCAGGCCACAGTAGTGGAAGGCAAGTGCTCTCATTACTGCATAATCCCTTTTAACTATACAATTATGTGTCTTAATGGAATGGAGAGGGCATGTGGAAAATTAGTATTTTTTGAACCTGATTACTGGAGATAATCTCCACTCTCCGAACAATACTATAGCACAATGCAAGTTCATTCTTGGTCTTAGTGACACATTTAAGTTCAATTCTGTTTCATATCCCATCCAGGGAAGAGTATAGAAATACTGTTAGTCTCTTCATGCAATAGATTCAACGGGGACATGCTCAGACAAGAAAAGACTTAGCCCAAACGCTAATTTTATCATTTTTTCAACCTTCAACTACTGAACTTGGAAAACAAGTTTGAAAGCCAAATACCTTTCTACTTCATTCTCCCTCAAGTTGAAATGGGCAAAAACTTTATATACAATTCAGCTAAATCAAAAATCTTAGAAAAATATCAAACCCCAATACCAGTGTAAAGAACGAATCATTGAGTAGGCACATTGATAGAGAAAGACAATCTACAGCTAACCATAACAACTTTAAATTTGAAATAGAATACATTTTTCCAGATAAAAATGCATCAATTAAAGCTCATTAAATGTTTCATATTCTGGGGATTAACCAAATTAGCCCCAGGCCTCCATGCTCAGCTGTGCCTGGCTAGCAGTTGGCGAACACTTGGTTGTCAGATGACCACAGACTTTGTTTTGTTTTGTTCTTCTGATCATTCCAGTCAATCTTTGCCCTCCCTCCTATCTCAAGAGGCTTTCCTTGTGCCTGATTAAATTAGCGGATCACCATGGCAATTTCTAAAATTATTAAAATTACCTTCACAGAGCCTGATGATGGGGAAATATCTTCAATCACTGCAATAGATTGGAAGGAAATTTGTAGAAGGAAATCAAAGAAACAAACTTTTCATTTTTTCCAAAGAATAAAGCATTTAAATTAGACCCAGTTAATGAATATACCTCCACGTTGGTCCACATCAGTATCTGAGTTAGTGCAGATTTCCTCCTGTGTCGAGTCTAAATCTTTGGTACAAATGTCAGATATCTGTTAAGACAAGGATTATTTCATAGTAGTAAACTTTAAAGCCTTTCACTATAAATATCAAGACATTCACAACCAGATGGTGATGAGAAGACATTGCAAATTAATGAAAATCAAGGGTTTCTGCTGGACACCATGAGGAGAAGTTGCCAACTGCACAGACATCCCAAGCTCACGTCCTGAGAAAAAGCAAATGACATCAATTCATGAAAGTGTCGTACATTTTGTGACACGGTGTTAAGTTTAGGGGGGAATTAATCATTTGTTTTTTCTGGTGACGTGAGCTTGAGATGTCTTTGCCAACTGCAGCCAGTTAATTGCTGTATTTTCATGTAAAAGATACAGAGCTTCACGTTTACCTTCATAGAGCCTGATGAGGGGAAAATATCTTGAACTACTGCAACAGATTAGAAGGAAAATTTGTGGCATTAAATCGAAGAAATCACGTTTTTATTTTTTCAAAATAAAGCATTTAAATTAAACCCATTTAAAAAATATACCTCCAGGTTGGTCCACATCATTATCTGAGTTGATACAGATTTCCTCCAGTGCTGAACCTAAATCTTCAGCAGAAATGTCAAATATCTGTTAAAGCAAGGATTACTTATTAGTGCTAAACTTTCAAGCCTTTCACTATGACTGTAAAGACATTCTCAATCAGATGGTTATGAGAAGAACCAAATTGTCAACCAACTAGGGTTACTTTTGGATAAAACAACAAATCCTCAGAGCTAAAAATATGAGAAATATGAGCCACAAAGTACAGAGAATTGATGTTTGAAATGGTTCGTGTCAAATAATTGATAAACTGTGTGGCTTTCCTCATGCCTGATTAAATTTGCCAATCACCATGACAATTTCTGAAATAATATAATTACCTTCACAGAGCCTGATGAGGGGGAAGTATCTTGAACCACTGCAATAGTTAAGAAGGAAACTTTGTAGCAGTAAATCAAAGAAAGCAACTTTGTATTTTTTCAAAAGAATAAAGCATTTAAATTAGACGCATTTAAAAATATACCTGTAAGTTGGTCCGTGTCATTATGTGAATTAGTAGAGATTTCCTCCTGTGCCCAGTCTGAATCTTTGGCAGAAATGTCAGATATCTGCTAAGGCAAGGATCATTTAATGGTAGTAAACTATGCCTTTCACTATAAATATCAAGACAATATTCTCAACCAGATGGTGATGAGAAGACATTCCAAATTCATGAATATTTAGAGTTTCCACTGGCCACCATGTGGAGAAGCTGCCAACTACACAGACATCCCAAGCTCATGTCTCAAGAAAAAGCAAACGACATCAGTCCATGAAAGCGTCATACATTTTGTGACCCGGTGTTAAGTTTTGGGGGGAATTAATCATTTGCTTTTTCTGGTGACGTGAGCTTGAGATCTCTTTGCCAACTGCAGCCAGTTAATTGTTCAATTTTTCTGAAAAAGATATGGAGTTTTATGTCTCGAACTCAAAGTATACTAAAGCCTACTGGAGTAAACCATACATCAGATTTGTTTCATTTTGCTTTCACTTCCATCATGATCTATTTTTCATATCCTCATTCATTTAATTTTATTTTCTTTCAAGAATATAATTCCTAAATAGTGTTTTTATTCCACCCCAATTGCTGAAATATTTTCAGCAACTGGGGCAGAAGTGTTACCCATAAAGTCTTAGCCTCGAGGGTAGCCTCCGCTCAGCCAGCGAACTTACGAAGTGCAGTCTGGATATTGTTTTGTTTTTCAACCAATCTCTCAGACATCCCTCATGCTTTCCAGAGCCTCCTTCAAGTCACTATCAGTTTCCTTGATTTCTATCGAGTTAACGATCGACTCCCTAGTTCAGGTTGTTAAGGATGTACCAGCTCCATCAAGGCTCAGCCCTGCTAGTAAAAGTGGTGAGGCAGCTCCTGCTGTCACTACTGTTACAATTACTGCGAGGATGCTCGCAACACCTCCCAATATGCTACAATAATGAAATACCTTGCCTTCCATCCTCACATTGTCAAGTCTATCCACCCCTGTAGGGTGACATTGGACAGCTTCCCGTATTTTGGGAAACATAACTTCCGCCTTTTCTTGAAATTTTTCAGCAACTTCTGTGTCCTGAAGTGACTGAACATCATGCACATCAACGACCTCTAAGTTCATTACTCTTGCTAAATTTTCATCCTCATTCACTAAGTTTGAGCAAAGAGAAAAAAAAACATTCATGACTTATTTATCGCATCTCAAATTTGCAGAGTTAAGCTTCAGTTGTAAGTCGTTAGCATCTTCTCGGAATGTACATAGTACATTTAAAACACGGAAAGTTGTGCAAATATAGCAGATACTGCAAATTAGTTGCAGAAAAAAAGACAAAATAATTCCCTTTACTTATTGGGCGCGTGAAATTCTTTCAAGCAAAGGCCAAATTATCGATTTCCCTTACAAAGCAATTGAAGTAGAAAAAAGTGGAAGAAAAATATCAAAAAAATCATTCAATTGATGAAATTATCAGATTGGTATCCCCATAATATCAATCTGTTGCGGTCTAAATCTATAGAAGGGATATGAAAGAACAGTTAAACCTAAAAAAATTGAATGAAACTTTTATCACAGCTCTGCTTGAAAGTACATTGCCATTCTTTAAAAAAATCCATGTTGTAAAAAACAACATCAACTCAAACCCAAGGTCAAACAGGATAATTATGTGGAATCAGTGAGCTGTGGCATCATTCATCAAGAACATTCACCTACTTTTGGAAAAAATTATCATTACAGCTGTTAAAAGTGTTTCAGAGTAGTTATGTCACAATTTAAAAAGATCAACAGCCAAATATCAATGCATGCAGAAAAGTGCTTCAGTTATTTTCTAAACATGAAAAGCCTCTATCAATGCTTAGGAATGTGTTGGTTAGGGAGTATTTGTAAAATGGTCTAGGGAAATACCTTCATTTGACAAAATGGAGATGTCATCTTGAGAATCTGAACTTTGGGGCTCCTTAGATGTCTCTAAATCTCCTAAGTACACTGCATCTTTTGACAGATCACTTGTGAGGTCGCCGCTTTCATTCTCGGTGTTACATTCTGCTTGATTAAAGGGAGACGAAAACCATTATGAGAGAATTAATTCTCACGTAAAAATAAAAAAAAAGAGAGAGGGTTCTATATGGCCTGTGTTGAGATAAAAAGACACTCCTCACTACACCATACAATGATCACAAATTCAGCTATGTTTGACCGATATGTACATTTTCATATGTTGTAATATTTCAACGCTGCAGCTGAAAGAAGTTGTAAGTATCATTAAATGTATGATGGAACTGTGGCATCCCAGTACAAATATTTCGCGATCACGGTTCATCACTAACTTAAACCGTTAATATGGGAGAGATCATTCTTTTGCCATGATTACGTCTCTGGCAAGTGTGATATGAGATTGATCACACCACTGATAAAAATGTGTCCAGGTAAAAATATTTTGTAATCACATTCACAGTCACCATGAATTACGCCTGCAGTCAAGGCAGTGATAACGTCTCTGGCAAGGGTGATCAGAGTGATCACATTGCAACAGTGATGAGGGTGAAATCACAGTCACAATCACATCCAATCCCGCTTGTGATTACGACAGCACAATTTTTTTTGCCGTGATAATGTCTCTCGCAAGCATGGTAAGAGCGATCACTACAATGATAAGGGTGTTCACACCTAGTGATCAAGGTTTATGACCTTTATCGTTTTTGTTGTCACACGATGCTAAGAGAAGATTCAAGTTGTGATATTCTTAAAAATCCATAAAGGAAAATCTGAAATCCTTGTGAGGATAATAACACATGGCTTTCTGTGGACAGATTTCACCCTATGCCCACTCGTAACAAATTGGTACTTATCTTTTTTCTTATTGTGATGGTTGAGCTTTAACTCATTTTGTTTATTTTAACTCAAGGCGCCATAGACATACACTATTTCAGTAGTGTAGAAGCTGCATGAGTTAAATGTGAACCCAGAAATGAAATTTGACCATAAAGTTTTCTACTTGGTATGTCCAAGCTAACCCTGTCCAAGTCACTTTTGTCACGGAATTTAAATCATCTAGCAAAAAAATCGCTATCGCATATCATCAGACCTCCTTGACTTTTTTAGGTGCCATGTTCTCGCTTCTGCTTCAAGGGAATGATCCCTGACAATGAAGTATTTTCCTTGGCGAAAAGATTAGTATCATTGCTCAGGTGATTATCGAGATGCACATGCTCTGATTGGTCAAGAATTGCATCATATTTTGCAATAATCACCTAGCACGAGGTAATTATAGCAGGGGCGCTAGATCTCGAAATGGCTGTTTTGGGCTTTAGCATAATACACAGGAAGCAATAAACGCAATAGAAGAAAATACAATTCTGAAGATCAAAACGACACTCCAAAGTTTGGCGCAACAACTTTCAAAGGAAAAACATGAAGCTTTTGCTAATTAAATCAGAAAAATCGGTGAAATTCAGGTGGAAGCTGGCTGCTTATCACCATACGAATAATCAAAACAATTGCAACTAAATGGTTTCAACAACAAAACAAATTTACAGAAGAATTCGAAAGCACCTGAGTAATTATACTAAAACAATTATTCGCCCTTGGCAAGCATTTGCTAAATATCTTTAGAAATCATGCACACTGACTGTTCAAGAACATTGTCAATTTAACAAATAGATTCTGTATTGCCATGTACCTGTTCAACAAAAGGTAATAGATGATGTCAAAATGCCTCATGTGCTACTTTTTTATGCTTACCACATTTTGACGTCACCAGTGATTTATCAGAGAGGTTAAGCACAGTGTTTACGGGAAACAACGAGACCCACTTTTCCCACCCTTTTTGAAAATTTTTGTTTGCTCTCCGGTGTTTTCAATGTAAAGGGACAAGGTTTCATATTAACGAAAATGTGAGTGAAAAGTGTATTCTTTTATGTTGTTGTAAAACATTAGCAATCGTGTGCTCCATGGCGGAGCTTCTTTTGCTCCATGCATTGACTTTACAAGGACATCATCGGGAAAATGAAAAAAAAATTAGCAACATGAGCTTCGTGCAATTCTTTGTTTTTGAAAGCACGAAGCAATTTTGAGTCGCAATAGTGACTTTAGGAGTAGGAAGATTTAAAGAGGTGGCAAAGAAAATTTTCGAACCAATCGAATACATTGTTTGGGGAGTATTTGTAAAATGGTCTGAAATGAAAAGGGAAATACCTTTTTTTGAAGCAATGGAAATGTCATCTTCAGAACCCGAACTGTGTGGTTCACTAGATGATGTATCCAAATCTCCTAAATACCCTGCGTCCTTTGACAGATCACTCATGAGATAACAGCTTTCGTTCTCAGCGTTACACTCTGCTTGGTTGACGAGAAAAGAAAACCATTATGAGATAATTTTAACATTAAAAGACTTACCAGGTTCCATATAGCCTGCGTTGAAATAGAACTGCACTTATTCAGTTTCTCAGACAATGACCATAAACTCATTTAACTTTGACCAATATGTAAATTGTCATAATTATGTTAGCACTGCGGCTGAAAAAAGTTGCAAGAATGCATTTGATGATAAGTGTGGTATACTCGTCAAAATATTTCTTGATCACGGTGTCGTCCGTGTTAACATCTCTGGCAAGCATGATGAGAGTGACCACAACAGAGATAGAGGCGTTCACACTTGGTGATCAAGCTTCAGACCACTATTATTTGTGTTGAAGGTGATATCACACGATACTGTGGGGAGATTCAAGTTGCGACATTCCTAAACATCCAGAAAGATGGGGATTCTAACTCCTGGGTTTTAACCTTAGCCTGCTCTTCTGACAAATTGATCTAATCACCCTTCATGTCGTGATGACCAAGTTTACTAACTTAAGTTTCTTTTAGTTTAAACAAGGTGTCATAGACATCACTGATTTCAGCAGTGTAGAGGGTATATGAGTAACAAGTGAAACCAGAAATACAACTTGAGCACAAACTAAAGCTCAAAATGTAAGAGTGATTAAGTGTAGCTTAGCTACCATGCTTACTTTGTGCTTCCCCAGCAGCAGCCTGCGCAAGTTCCGACCAGTTAATTTTCTTGGGACATTCTTTTGTAGCAGAGATCTCTACTGAAAATCTACAGTTTAAAAAGGTTAAATTCAGTACAAACTATATGCATCTACACACCACAATAAATGGAAACATAGGCATGCATAGCGTGTAAGAGTTATTTTTTTAGAGGGTGGTTGGGTTGAGATGGGACACTTTGTGTACCAAATGTTTTCATTTTTGTAAAAAAAAAAAGAAAAAAAGCATAACTTTCAAAAGAACGAAAATTTCGCATTACTTCACATCAGTAGAAAGAAAAATATACCATATTTACCTGAACTCACAAAAGTATTTTGCGTTCTATTGTCTTTGCCTAAAGACTTCTATTCAAAAATAAAATGCATCGGTGCCACGCTCACTGTAGCCTCCTTCGCAGCCTTTGTTTGGTCTCGTCACACAACGCCATCTATTCCCCGTCGGAGACCAAATAACGGTTGCGAAAGGGACCACTCTTATTGTCGTTCCTCTAACAGAGAAAATCAAAATTATTTGTCTATAGAGGTATTTGCCTCAAAAATAGAATTCCACTTAATTTTACTACGAAAAGCAAACGGTAAAATTTCCGCGCAGCCCCATACTACATTATGCATTCAGTTCTTGGATAGAGAAAACAATGACAAAAACAATACATTGCCATTGGGAAAACAGATTTGTTTTACAATAGTATGGGGCTGTGCGGAAATTTTACTAAAAAGGGCTCCTTGACTGGTTATTGCCTTATTGGATTTTGCCCTCTGTGTGTGAAATACGCGATATAATGCAGTTTGTTTACAAGGAATTAACACGCGATTGGGTTGAGTCCAAGGTAGCTTAAAGCGAATTTTATCCGTAGAAAAAGTCAAAACGCAGGAGAATTGCGTGGAAAATTCACTATCATTAGTACGAGGTAAAATGCAGGTTGGTTTACAAGGAAATGACACGTGATGGAGCTAAGTCTAATGTGGCAAAATAGAATTTCATTGGTGTAATACAATTCAAGCACGCGGAAAATTACCTAATGTTCATTTGGTACAATTTCTGGGCATGTTTTGATTGGACTTTGGACGTTGTTTTCGTGGTAAATGATGAAGTGTAAGTTGTTTAGCGTGGGCGTTGTGAGTAAAGGAAAATGACAAGATTTCTAACTCTAAAACTACAGATGATGTACCTCTTGGTCACGCCTTCCAGGTAACAAGCAGTCTTGTTGTGGCCATGATATCTCGCAACTACTTCAGGCAATGATCGACTGTCCTTGGAAGCATCGAACACCAGTCTTCCAGCCGAGGTGGAGAAGATCATCTCAATAAACTGCTGAGCGCCCTCTCTTGCAGCAGTATCAATCAGGAGGTGTAAAAGCTGGACTTGTTGTGCATCTCCTGGAAATAAAAATAAAAAAATTTTTCAAAAGGAACAAAGGAAATATGGGAAAAAAATTGCAAAATATCAATCTTGTGATTGTACAGAACATTATTGGCAAAGAACGTACCGCAGCATTTCCTAATTACAATTTCTGAAACATTTCCCTTCCCACCCCCCTTTTTCAAAATTAGGCTACCTGCAAAAATTCAACATAAAAAAAGGAGTGGTGTATTTCAACAAAACTTTTCAGGATGCAGGTAGCTAAATAACTGGAAAGGGGCAATCAAATGTGCAGTCACTCGCTTTGAAGTTCAACTGAGGCTGAGACCAACTTTTTTTTCACAATCATTATATCTCTCCTCAAAGAAGCATCAAACTTCACTTTTCATACCACTGTATCTTCAAACATAAACATACAACAGCCTTCATTTAGCTTGAAAATATGCTCGGATAATACGACTTTAAAAACAAACAAATCTGTCCCTTCTACTGTAAACAACAGCAAAATGCCCCCCCCCCTCCCCCATTGGTACTTCCCGAGAATTTAGAGCCTAACAGAGCCAAACTCCAGCCTGACTTTGGCCTGCATGCCATACTTGAATCTAGACGATAATTTAAGTTTAAAGTTTAAAAATCAGGGAATATCACCAGATATTCCTCAGTCTAAGCTGCCCAGGATATGTTCGCTCATGTAATGGGTAGAAAATATGCACACAAAGAAAATATTTGATGGATTAAGAAGTATACACATCTCTTAATTGTTCAGAGACTCTTGCCAAACAAAGCCACAAACAAAAAAACAAACAAACAAACTGTCAATTTTTCCTTGTGTATATAGAGTAAATATTTACTGAGGATCGACACCCTATCAAAGTAGATAAAGACTTACCAAAAGCTCCATATCTTTGTGGGTCTCCATCATCGCTATCAAAACTGCTGGCTGTGTGGCATCTCATCTCCTCACATAGGTTTTCGAATAAGCTGGGGATTTTAACCAAGGCAACTACTTCCCTTCCATCAGGAAAGTAAAAAATTTCAGTTGACCCTAGACGAGTATCATTTTGATCTATAAATATCACATTCGCCCAACCAGATGATGGTGCACCTGAAATAAAATCATTGAAAGTTGAAGATGTAGAAGTGCTGTAGCTAAGTTGACAATATTTGCAGCCTGAAAATCAAAACACCTTTATACAGCTCAACATCAATATAGCTGCAGCCTTCCACATATAAGTACAATAAAAAGATGAACAATGTGGTTGATAAAACGTTAAAGCAAAAAATAATAATTAAATAATGTAATATTATCACTTTAACTGGGTATATTGGTAGATAGTAACAAGAATCAACGAACCTGGGATACTGTGTCCGAATAGAACTGAAGGTGAAATGACCAGTTCAACATTGCCTAAAATGACCTCTGACTTGACAAATACTGCATGGACAGAGGTAACATTTGTATCTAGACGTGGACAAAATGAGACACGAAAAGGATATCCACCCTAGAGAAAAGGAAGTATTTTAAGAGTCTTTAAGAAAGAGGGTATTAGTTTCTAAAAAACTGTGATGCTGCTTCGGTGGGAGAGTATGACAGGGTAATTAGGTACTATCAACTGAGTTGAAAATGTAAATTGGCTATGGTGGCCATAAAGAGTTTCTAAGCTGTGTTTCCATAATGTTAGCCTTTTGTCATTCACTCTGACAAAGGGCCAACACCAGAAATGTCAGCATTGAAACTCTTTATAGTGGCCAATTTATGTTATCAAGTCAGTTGATTATACCTCATTACCCAGTTAAGTGTCTTTGGTTGAAACCAATTAATATTCTTTCACATACTTTATAAAACCCAAATCAAGATTTCCCTGATGCAACTGAGCTTCTCATATTGTGTGATGGTACAATTTCACACAACTGGATTTGAATCACCTCAATCCAAAGTCTGAGGAACATTATTATAATAATATTTTTCATAGAAGCAAATTAAGCAATGTGGCTATATTTGAACAATGTGATATTGATGTAACATATTTTCTCAAATAAGCAGCTAGGCACAGCTTATTTGAAACTTCATCTAAAGTAAGAAGGGCTGCTTATTGGAAGGTCAGGTCACCTTATCAAACGGAACGCTTAAATTAATATACTGTACTGAGTTTGCTGTAATTGAAGCATAAAAAGTTTTAAAGAAAGTGGCAATAGAGACTGTTTTTCCTCGTATCCCTACTATTTTAAGAAAGTAAGAGTATGAGGGGGGGACTATAATTCAAGGGAGGTGCTTGTTTTATTTCATGGCCAAGGGGGTGAGTGCTTATTTGGAGAGGGGGTGTATTATAGCATTTGGGGCACATTCTATTTCCCCTTGCTGAAATCACTGGTAAAACAAAGTTAAATAGTTTTTTGAAGAAAGTGCATGATAAAGCATGATCTATCTCACAATGACCTTTCTTAACTCACAAAATAACCTTAAAAATGCAGAATTTCTTTTCTTTTCCACCATATCACATTAAGAAGGCCTTATCACAAATATGAGTTTGTTTTTTATTTTCAGCTGCAGAGAGCTGTGAATTTTATCGGTCTCTTCAATCAAAGTCCATGATTACAGGTACATCAACATTAACATCCTATACTCCAAGTCTTTTGGATTTCCATACATGTCATACCCATCAACCAAAGCACAAACTTGAAACAGATCATGAAATCACTGGTAGTTATAAACCATTAAGCACCTATGGCAAACTTTACCTCCAAAGGACTTTCTTTAGGTTTCATAAAAACCTTATAATCAAGGTTTTCTAATGACTGCAACAAAGACTGATCCTCTAGAATGAGATAAGAGGTCAGAGAAAAGATAATTAAGTTATAGTAAATGTGGAGTTGCTAAAATGCATTGCATTCTGTACATATAGAAGCTTCCCAAGATAACATGCACACCAGGTAACATATCAAGGTAAAAAAATCATACATCACAGACAATTTAGCTGGGTGCTTGGTGATAATTAATTACCTTGTGTCAATTCTGGATCACTGACTGATATACCACTTGTCTCAGACTAAGAGAGATAATCACAAATTAAATTTATATTAATAATAAAATGCACTTCATTTTAAAGTTTTGGCTTGAAACTTCAATTCAAAAGTAAAACAAGAAGATGGTTTGAATTGGCTGGGTCATATTGGCAGTTCCCTTCAGTTCAGCCATTGTAAACTCTATAATGCCAAAATTTTGCATGGAAGCCAGATTTGTACTTGTTTCAGTGAATGCTTTATCACTCACTCACTCACTCACTGCTCTATGCATATAGTCTTGAACAATATAATACAATAATAAAGTTTATTCAAGTGTCAATGCACTTAAGCTATATCAGCTAATTGGGGGGCACTTATATGAAGTACAAGGATCATACATATCTATACTCGCCTATGTATGATTCCCAATTTATTAGTTTTTGTAACATGTTAGTTCATTTTGTAAAGTTCTCAAGTCTTTTACTACTGAGGTAATAAAAAATATAATTAGGATGGTTGATTATACATGGGACCAGGGAGAGTAAGATTTCAGGGGGAGGTGGAGGTTTTGTTTGACTCTTGTATTTCGTGTACGTTACATGTTGTCGTTTCGCCTTATTTTAGACATTTATGCCTTGTTTTAGATGGTTTTAGATAGTTTGCGAGTGGCTGTAGATGTTTTTGAGGTGGTTGTAAGTGGTTGTTGAAATTTTTGAGGTAGTTGTAGATGGTTGTAGGTGGTTTAAGGTCATTCCTTGTTTTAGTACTTACCAGGGGACTGAACAATTTTAACCAAAAAATTCCAAAAGAGAAGGCGGGCTAATATATGTGTACGGGGGATTAACATTATGGATATTACACCATGGTGTTAAACTTCAAAATAATGTTTGAAATACACTTAAAACATGATAATTCAAAGGAAGTCCACTTCAAATTACCTTATCACCCGGAAGTTCATCACTTGATCCAATTGGGCTGGATTTTCTGTGACAATTACCTTGCGTCAATTCTGGATCACTTACTGATATCCCACTTTTCTCAGACTAAGAAAGATAATCACAAATGAAACTTATATTGATGAAATAATGCACTTTATATTAAAGTTTCAGTTTAGTAATACATTAAGCTACAATTCAAAAGTAAAACAAGAAGAAGAATTGAATTGGGTCATAGTTCTCTTCAACTCAGCCAAATGTGAAGTCTAATAGCACGCCAATTTGTAAACCAGGTTTGTACTGGTTTCAGTGAAATTGCTTTGTCACTTATTGCCCAGTGCATGATTAGTCTTGAAAAGTAATATAATAACAAAAGGCTGGCAGTTGACAAACACTTGGTTGTCAAATGACCACAGACTTTGCTTTGATCATTACAGTCATTCTTTGCCCTCCCTCCCCTCCCAAGAGGCTTTCCTTATGCCTGATTAAATTTGCAGATCACCATGACAATTTCTAAAATAATAAAATTACCTTCACAAAGCCTGCTGAGGGGGAAATATTTTGAACCACTGCAATAGATTGGAAGGAAAGTTTGAAGAAGCAAATCAAAGAAATCAACTTTTTAATTTTTCAAAATAATAAAGCATTTAAATTATAGGACCCAATTTAAAACTTTACCTCCAGCTTGGTCCACATCATTATCTGAGTTTTCATCCAGTGCTGAGTCGAAATCTTTAGTAGAAAGGCCAAATATCTGTTAAGGCAAGGCATTTATAAGTTATCAACTTTCTAGCCTTTCACTATGACTATCAAGACATTCTCAACATGATTGTGACGATGAGAAGAACCAAAATGTCAACTAGGGGTTACTTTTAGATTGAAAAACAAATTCTCAGAGCTAAAAATATGGGAAATATTAGGAACAAAGTACAGAGAATCTATAACTGGATTTTTGGATTTTAAATGGTTCAAATAAACCATGTGTATAATCTCATAAAGTACTGTCTGTAATTTCATGAACATGTCAATTAAAGCTGTTGTAATTTTTATTTACCTGTAATGGAGTTTCCATATTTGATGGAACAACAGTATCTTCTCCCTTGATGTTGCCCACGGATGCTGTTCCAGTTGCATTCATGTTGAGTAAGTCAAAGGAAAAATCAGTTGATAAATAAACACTGACAGTACCATGATGTCATACTATGTAACTGCAATAGTACAATATCACCTGACTTGTTACATACATCTGGCAACAGTATATGTTGCTGCTAATAGCTTTCTTGAGGCTAAACTCTACAAGTTTAGAAACAGGACCCACTATTTGATAAATAAATATTTTAAATTATTTAACCCATAAGAGTGAAAAGTATCAAATTTCTCTTTAAAATATAACCACAGAATCAAATCAAAACATTATAAGGTCACAAGAACAGATGAAATGATCTCAAACTAAGAATGCACTTGATTGTTAAGAAAATGCTCCTTGTCAGCATCCTTAGGAAATGTGTACAGAGAACAGTATGGAGAATATGCATACTGATGGTAGAGTGTAAAGGGTTATATGAATGATCAAACGATAAAGCCCTGATCAAATCATTTCCCAAAACAGGCCCAAAATATTAAGTCACTATTACCATCAGAGACATCCATAGCTTCCTCAAAACCTGTGTCGCTTGTGTCAAGAGAGGTACCTACATCAGGAGACACTTGTAGTTTCTTGTCAACCTTAATTGACAGTGTTTGAAAAAAAAGACATTAAATTTAAGGTAAAAGTGTTCAAACTTGTGCTGTAACAATATCAAACATTGCGCCATTTCTATGTACTACTAAAACAAAGCCATGAAGTCCTAAAGACAAACTCTTGTTTGCCCTATTTTTTTATTTTCCAAGAACTGTATGCAATGAAGTGCAGGGCTTTGCAGAAATCTTTCTAAAACATATTAAGTAAATAATAGTTTCAGTAATTTTTAGACACAGGTATCCATTTTAGGGGATATCCTTTATATCAAAACAGAGCACAAGTTTTAAGAAAACTAGGCAGCATACACCTGCTCTAAATATACTTTACTTCTCCAGGGGTTTGTATCATATACCTCTGAAGATGTGCTGCTTGTCTCATGATCACAGTGCAAATTAATGCTGATTGGAAATGTTGGGCAAACAAATAAAATCAGAAGAGGTTAAAGTATTTTGATAAGAAAGGGGACTAATAATTACCAAATTCTGAGGGTAGGTGGGGATTAAAATAATTGATACATCCATGGAGGGGTTTGTGTATTAAACATTATACACCCAAAGGACAGTGATCAAAAACTACAGCACAATTGTCCCCAGGGATACCTTGTATAGTTGTCATTCACAACACCTGAGGACACCGAAAAACTCTCATGTAAATACAAACTGTACTCAGCGAGACCACAAAAATAATTCATTCTGGCAGTACCCAACAGACAGATAATCTTAGGAGAATTTACTCCAAAACAAATACTACTTACCAACAATTTTTAATTGCTGCTGTCTGGAAATGTTTATAGGCAGACAAATACCAATTAATTCAGAGGGGACTGAACAACTGTTACCAAAAATTCCAAAAGAGAAGGCGGGCTAATGAGGATGTGTAGATGGATTAAAATTATAGATAACACCAAGGTGTTAAACTTAAAATAATGCCTGAAATACATAAAACGTGATAATTCACTGAAAGTCCACTTCAAATTACCTGATCACCCGGAAGTTCTACACTTGACCCAAAAAGCGAATGAAACACTTTGGAAGGAATTTGGAACTCCCTCTCAACAACTTTGTTCTTTTCCCCGACCTTTTGACATTCTTCATACTCTTTTGCGCCGTCTGCATCATCACAATAGCGACGAAGAAGACCCTCTCTAAAGCTGTTGCTGGCCTTTTTCCTATCGATGTTTAAGTCATACCTGGGGTTCTTCTTCGCTCTGTACTGAATATAAAGTTCTACAGCATCCTCCCATTTGATACGGAACCGACCCTCCTGATTAACAAACCATGCATACTTCCCTTCTTGGATCAATTCTCGGATGAAGTGGTACACTGTTTTATTTTTCCCTTAGGAGTAGAACACATTGATCTTTAATTTTTTAATTTGAAAAGTTCTTGTTATAGAGGCAGGGGGTTTGACGTATTTGATGTTTTCATCTTTTAGTATAGCTTTAATCCGCGCGCTTGTACCTTGTTGCGTAAAGTGGGCTTGAATAGGATAACAAGTAACTGTAGGAAATAAACATTCCCGTTCTGATTCAATTAAGGTAGAGAGGATCAAACACAAGAGAGTCTCCTTTCCTCGGTGACTCACAAAAAGACAAATTCAATTTGGTGGATGTTCGTCGGATTCGATGTCAGTTCGTCAAATTGCTTACCTCGCCCAAAATTCGCTCCTAGATTCGACATGTCAGATTCGGTCTAAAACTGCGAAAGTCCCGACAGGTTTTCCTCAGGATCAAGGCTGTTTGGAAGTTACCTTGCTCAAATGTTAAATCAACTGTATTAAAACCAAACACAAATACATAAGAAGTTAGTTTCGTTGTACTCTGTGCGCTCTGTCCAAGCGGTTTTTTAGATTATAATTGATTAAAATTTCGATACTCCTCTCTGATTGGCAGAGCGTTTTGGTCCAAGTTGGACCAAGATACGTTACGTCCGACCGGAAGTTGAGATCCAACTTGGACACTGCTGACATTGAATTACCCAACTTGGACCTTATTAATTCATCTTTAGAATTATCAACTGAGTTGATAACGTAAATAGGCCACCGTAAAGGGTTTCAAAGCTGACGTTTCTAGTGTTAGCCATTCGCTCTGACGAAGGGCTAACGCTCGAAACGTCAGCTTTGAAACTCTTTACGGTGGCTAATTTACGTTCCTAACTCAGATGATAATAATTAATTACCCAGTTATACTCTTCCATGGAAGCAGCACCACAGTTTCTACAATAACTTACATTACTCATCCTCACTACTTCGAAGAAATTAACGTTGTTGGTATTTTTTGTTTTGTTTTATTTTGTTTTTATTTTTTTACCACGAACTTATGTGGCAGGAGTGATAAGCATTTCAAGGTTGTCTTGTACTAGCGTTACGAAACCAATTTAGGATATCAGTCACGCATTGCGCAAGGAGTATTGAAAATACTTGATTTTTTCTTTTGTAGTTTGCGTGACTCTTGTTCTCCCACGCGCAACTGCGCTCCGACCAAAACACGCCGCTTTCTTCTTGATAAAATTCTATTTTTTACAGCTGTGAAGCTTGACTTAATAATCTTGTATCTTTTTCGGGGGTACTTGGTAAGACAAAATATTAGATACAGAAAACACTTCAATTCCGAAGCAACAATCGATCTTGTAGTCTGATCGACCTAATCTTCGGGAGAAGTTTGGTCGTTAGCCATTTAACTCCCAAGATCTGATTTTTAATTCTCCGTCCAGCTGCTAGACGTTTCTTTGTAAATTAGTTACGAGAATTTAGTGTTAGATCAAGATGACAACTCCTTTCTGATAAGTTTGAATATTTTAATAACTTTCGGAAGAAATTTTCGTCCGTGTAAATTATAAAGAGTAGCTTAAGTTATACATTGGATGTCGGGTAATTTTCCTTTTACAATTTTTGAAATAAATATTTCTCAAAAATACGATTTGGGGAAATAATCATAACTTGAAATGAGAGAATAATAGACTCTAGATGGAAATTTACAATTTCTCACCAAAAACAATTAATGAGAAAGGTTCGGAAAAAATGTATAACAATTCGATCGCAACTATTTTCCTTTTTCCAGTATCCTTGCCTTCAGGCATTTAGGAGACAGCCTTTATGGGCAATCGAACAGAAACCGTTTACGGTACTATCAGTGTGGGTCTCGCTGTTGCCAGTTTCCTTTAACACTCTAAATGCGATCTACAGGTAATAGCAACCCGATATGAGAGCTTGTTTACATGGATGTAGGGGATTGATCCCAGGTAGGTGAGGTAACCCGCCTAGCCGTGGTCGAAAAATTTTCTACGTTTACATACAATGTTACAACCCCAGGATGCCAGGGTGAAGTTTCTCGAGGCTGTTATTGCAATTATAATGGAAGAGTTTAAGATGTCGCTACGGCGACTTGTGGTAAAAAGTTGCAGAAAAAAACGCCATTTATTTTATTTTAAGATTTTCGCCAATAGCTCGAACGGTACAATGTCTTCACTTCGGCACAACATGTGAATGTAGAGTCGAGTTCTAAGGTCAGGAGAATAAAGGAGCTGATCACCGACCAAACAAGATCTTGATTGTAAGACAAATTCTCCGTGTTGGCATCTTAGGAAATGTTTAGAGAACAGTATGGAGAATATGCATACTGATTTTAGGCTGTAATTAGGGTTAAGGTGTAAGGTCCTCTTTTCGTACATTTGTCGGTTTTACCGAGTGATAGAAGAGAGGAAAACATTGTAAGACTTTCATCAGTTGCTTGTAAATCAGACGACCCATGATAGTAGTCAAATAAGAAAAAGAAGAATTTTTGGTGTAATTTTTTACCGGAGTAAAGAATTTTAAGCTAATAAACAGGTAGTTAATTTCCCTTTTCTTTATACCATTTGCTGAAGAAAGCCTTTATCAACAAGTAGTGGTTACATTCGAAATCATTTGAATTATTGGTTTTTCTAAAAACCACCGAACTCATATATTGATCTACATGGTTTTTTTCCTAAATTAATGAATGTTACAGATTGGTAAAAGAGAAGGACTATACTTTTAGACTTTCCTCAGTTAGTTGCGAATTAGTTCACTCTTTGCATAGGTTAAGAAGAGGGAAACTTTTCAAGTGTAAGTTTCAACCGGGGTTATAAATGTATAAAGGAAGAGGAATGACTCATAACAAGAGTACTTTTCAATTGAGTGTTGAAAGCAACCCAGGGTTCCTTTGAGTTGGCTTTATTTCGGTCTGATAGATGGAGAAAATTCGTGTTCCAAACCAATCGGACTTAGATACTAGCGTTTTCCCGCCCGCGCTTGCCTTTTTCGTTATTAGTTGATGTGATTACTTCCATTTTAGTTTTGCGAATACTGCTCTGTTTACAATTTATTCTTTAGGTAAACTGAGTCGTTGGATCAACTTCATCATTTGTTGTGATTGATACTTATCTATATTAAAATATTTGAATTTACCAAATTATTTAGTGAGATTCTTATGCGAATTGTATCTTCTTTTCTTCCCCACAAAATAATAGAGGATTTTCCCCCCACCCCCAATAATTTTTAACCTGTAAGAACCTCTCCAAGCTTAGTAGTAAATCACTTTCCTAAGAATAGTTATCCGCGAAACTTTTAGTCATTATGACCACAGGGACACCAAATGGAAACTAGACAATAATCGGTTGAAAATGTTAACACTCTTGCGATTGGCTGCGCGTAAGGGCGTAGTGGTACAAGATATACGAAGGGAACGAAAGTAAACAATGTCATAATTTTGTAATATTTTAATTTGCTTTTGCAAATTTTTTCATTCAAAGAAAGAATTTGAAAACGTTTTAACCTTCTGAGGTGTTCATATGTACAAATGTTCTCACTTTTATCAATTTCTCCTTTTCTTTACAAACTATTACGAGAGGAGAAGGAAGCTTTTTTCCAGACATTCCTTTGTCTTGTTCTATTAATTGCTGAGCACAGTTTTTGTTTTTTTAAAAATCCACATGTACAACTGCATCGTCTCTAAATAAAATGCTGAGCTAGGCATATCGTGAAAGTTCTTCAAACTAACACAAATGCAAGCATCCATATAGTTGTCTTTTCGACAACTTATTTACGGCTTTGAGAACTATTGTGCTTAATAATAAAATAAAAAATAGGTTTATCTTAGGCTGCTGACAAATCTGGCTCTATGGAATGAACCGTCTGAGCGCCATGTCAAATTTCACTCCTGAAATGTGTGTTGTTCTGAAAAACTAATCCAAAAATAATCACAAATAATAAACTTCAAAACTATTACAGTACATCGACAAAGATGTTGAAAATTTTGTTCTGATCGTGGGACAAACAAAAAACTCTGTAACCCATGAAACTTCAAGCCCCGCCCTTCCGATTTGGTGGAGACGTTTTAATAACAGAAACCTCGTTGGTTCGTTGGTGTGATAGACTATAAACTAGTTTCATGTGTGACAAGTGTCTCTTGCTAGGATTACGGGGGAAAAAAAAAAGAAAACAGATGAGTTTGCCGGATTACAGAAACAGTTTCTATGGTTATCGAATATTTTGCTGAATACTTGGTAGAGACTAGTGTACAGCAAATAGAACCAGCATTCTTGAGTTTTCAAGATAGCATTCCCCTTTATCATGTTCACATACTGCAAGACGAGACACCGCAACCACTACTGAGTAACTTGGAAATTTCAGGTCACTCTGGTCGGTCACTTTCACGACCACAATAAGACTTGTATTTGATGCAAGGTGCTGGGAAATTGAATGGTAAGCAACGATCAGCTAGTCTTCGACCACAGAATCTTTAGTGTCTCATGGTGAAGGTACCATACCTCTCTCATATCTCATGTTTCCTGTTTCCCTTTTCCTTTTTGCATTGTCTGCTGGTTTCTTCTCTTGCTTTGTTTGTGTCTATCAAGTGGATCGTTTTTCCAAGGCAACCAATTGATATCTGCAATGGAATAAAATTTTCAAAAGATTTTTAGAACAAAACTCAGTCTAAATTCAGAAATTTAGTTGTAAAAGACTGACTTATTAAGTATTAAGCATGATACGATGGCAAGGATTAAATTATGCATGTGATTGATAGCAAATCGCTCATCAGGAAGTCGAAAACAAAAGAATAGAAATTGGAACATGAGTGTTGTACAGTAATTTGCTCTGTTTTGGATGTCTTAATCCATAATTTGTCATTCAGCGTTTCTTCCTACCATACAAAGGACCCACTGGCACAATGTGGTAGACCCAATCTGCACTGTTCCATCAATACAAGGTGATCTTAACTTATTTCACAAACATTTGCGGGTTTTCTACAAAAGCTTATGAAAATAAAAGCATAAGGCTGTAAAACGCCATAAGTAAAAAAATCTTAGACCCTCTCTCATTTGGCCTGTCTCGTCAATTAACTCCCAAAGGTGATTAACACATCAACTCTCCCTACAGTAACAATGGGTTTTACTAAAAATGGTGTTGAGATTAGAAGAACATCAGTAACAGCATTGTTACTCTGATAATCTATCAATTCTCTAAAAGTATTTACAAAGAAATGCGTAACAGTTAAAGGGAAGAATTTCAAATCAAATCTTAAGGGAAGTGTCTGGCAGCCCGGTCAGCCAAAGTTGCTGTATATCTATAACCTAAAAGTTTATGGCACGTACATGTAACCTCGCTTCTTTCTATAACAGGTGAATACATTCAAAAGCACGTTCATGGTTATTCAAAATCAATTTACCATTTGACGAGTTGGTGGATGTTGTGGGTTTTGATGTAGGTCGAATAATAAACGTCGCTGAAGAGGGCTTGGGACCTGTAAATTTTGGGAACATTTTGACGAATATATGACATATACAAGTCACCATAAATGACGCAAGAGCCACGATCGCAAAATGAATTGTGACTAGCAAATGTTTCACTCTGTTTGTCTCGTGGTAAGTAGCTTGTCGTTCTCCGCCGGCATTCTCAGTCTTAAAAGCGGATATGTACGCTGACCACCCGATTTCCGTGTTAGCTGGCTCTTTCTGGCAGTTGTTTCTCCGTGGTTTGGGCGAATTGAATAAAAACTTGGCAAAATAATTCTTGAAACATCTCTGTTCTGTAAGCAATAAAATGATAGTCGCAATAAATGTCAAACCAATCACAATCGAGATCAGCAAGTGTTTTGAGGCGTCTCTTCTACCGGTGGCATTCTCAGTCTTACAAGCAAGTGTCCACACTTTACGGCCGTTTCCTTGCAAGCTCGGTCTTCCTGGCTACTGTTTGTAAATGGTTGTATACCTTCATTTTCGGCTGAAAATTGTTTGATAACTTTGGAATATGAATCCTTCATATGGTGATTCACCAAACAGCTAATACTCAAGTTAGGTCCTGAAGAGGTTCCTACACTATGTATCAACCTCTTCCAAGGGCTGTCGCATTGGGTACTGAGTAACGTCCGCGGTTTAATATCTGGTTGTCGCGAACCATCGATTCCGCATTGTTCAGACGGATGAAATGTTTCAACTTGTTTCACGACAAATTTTAAGGCAAACTCGTGGAAATTAGTTGAACATTCAAGATCGCGTTCTGCGTAATAAGAACAACGTATGTTTTCATCTTGCTCCAGAACCCTTTTTGGCCTGCCTCTCGCTTCATCTGCAACAAAGCAACCAGAGCATTTGTGGCCTTGGCGTAAGTCAATGCAGCTCAGATTGAAGACATTTGGTCCAAAATGTTCGAGGAAGCTTCGCCCACTGCTTACATCTCCATCTATGTCTGGTTTGCGGTAGTGGCACGCTCGTTGTAGTTTCTTCTTTAACACTTGCATGTGTTTTTGCGAACAGATGGGGATGTTTGATGATATCAGTTCAAGATTGTATTCATCTCTTTTTACACCTCTTCTCTGTTTGCATGCGACGAAACAAGGCGGGAGCAAATTAAAATACAAACGAGAATATTTTTGGCAGTCATGAGGAACACATACATAGCTGTCGTTAGAGGTACTTGTAATAGTGTCTGACGGTATCGTTGTATGAAAAAAGGACGATAAACTTGAGTTTCCATCAAACTCGTTGCTTCTTTTCCTCAACGTAACAACTTGGAGAGGACCTTGTCTGATTTGCAATGGTGTCTGTCGAGAAATTTTAACATAACGTTGTCTTAATGAGAGATATAGAAATTCCAAGATCTCTTGATGGCCACTTTCAACAGCGCAATCCAAAGCAGCCTTGCGTGAGTTATCTAAGGCTAATATTTGGCTTTTATGTTGTACAAGAACTTCTACGATGCTTTTATGTCCTTTTCGAGAAGCCAAATGAAGTGCTGTTTGTCCAAATATATTTGCGGCATTGACATCACTGCCGTTCTGTATCAACTCCTTCAAAATGTCTTTGTATCCGTTCTCTCCACTCTCTGCAGCCAAGTGAAGAGGGGTTTCCTTAAACACATTTACTGCACCAACAATGCTTCCATGTTCTAGAAGTAATTTCACAACGTTTTTGCGCCCAGTCTGAGCAGCCAAATGGAGAGGTGTCTGGCCAAAGAGGTCTCCGTCCTGGATATCATCTCCATGCATTATCAAGGAGTGTACAATGGTATCCTGTCCACTCTCTGCAGCCAAGTGAAGCGCAGTTTTCTGGGAGTTATCTCGAGCACTTAAATCGCTCCCAAGTCGGATTAAGAGTTCTACCACTCTCTCGATTCCTTTAACCGAAGCTAAATGAAGGGGAGTCCGTCCAAAGTTGTCTCTAGCCTTCAAAGCACTGTCATGTTGAGTTAATTTTGTTAACATTTGTTCTTGTCCATGTATTGCAGCCAAATGAGCCGGAGTACGTCCAAAAACATCTCCTCGTTGGGCATCGCTTCCACGTTGTAATAGCATTGCTGCAATTTGTTGGTGACCATTCCATACGGCCAAGTGAAGAGGTGTCTGCTGTTGGTAACTCTTAGCGTTGACGTTATCTCCTAGTTTGGTCAAAACATCTGCGATATCTCTGAAGCCGAATTTTGCTGCTACATGAAGAGGAGTTTCCATGCGGGAATTTGGAGTATCCACATTCAGCCCACAATTCAGTAAAAGTTTGGAAAACTGAGTGTATCCATTACCAGCGGCCCAATGAAGAATTTGACTCTCTATTAGTAACAAACAAGGTAAAAAGTTAGCGCATGTTAAATTTGTTGCATCTCAGAAAGAGAAAATTTCCCTTAACCTCGATTGTATCCAAGTTACTGACTGAGCACGCACAGTGTAAGGGTATTTTGACACGTTGCTATAGTTAAAGTACCTTGCAAATTCATGAGAATAGTCGTACCATGCTCAACAAAAATTGGAAATGTCTTTGATAAAAACGTAGCTGTGATTTAATATGGGATAGTAACAATGATTCATCGAGAGAAGATTGTTGAAAATGTTTCAGAGAATCGCCCCTCGTATTCTTGAAGCATGTTTGATTCAAGAGGCCGAGCCCTACAATCTGAAAGTAATTTAACATTCTAAGTTTATGAAGTTTGAAAACACACGTACCTCCAAGCTTGATTCCTGCTAATACTGTCACCAAAGCAGCGGTTAACAGAATATATCTCACACGAGAGGCTGTCTCAAACTTTATCCAGTGGCCGCGTTGTCGATGTTCTGTTACGAAAAAAGTGTTTGTATTTACTGTTAGTACTAGGACAAAAACAGTTAAAACGGACAAACATCCTTATGATTTTCACCATTCCTCTGTCAACAAAGAATCGTGATACGTTATGTAGGTTAAACAACAGGGTTTAAATCAACAAAACTCCCAGAAGTATTTCAAGCAGATGAACAACCCTACGATAAATCACAACTCATCGTTTGAAATTATCTTAAACGATACAATTCTCATAAGCATTATTTTCATTGTCACTTCCACATCACAATCATTGTCAATATACTTTTCATCATCATTATCATCTTATCCTTGTCACTGTTAGTGTAGTTATTGTCGTTATCACCATAATTGTAATTCACTTATTCACTTTACACATCTTGTTAAGAAATAAGATGAAGTGGAAATCTTACTTTTTGACTTGGTCGTTTTCTCCTGACGTGAGGATTCTGCTGCATATTTTTGCCTTGAACCACCGTCATCTCTCTGTTTAGTTCCCTTATTCTGGCCCACTGATCCCATTCTTTCAGCTTGGGAACACACATCTTGCTGCTCTGCAGATAAATCATCTTCTCTTCTGGACAGCCATTGAAAGAAGCTACGCAGTAGAGGTAGCCTTTTGTAAGCTGGGAAGTTCTCAACAGAAGACTCCTCACAGATGCTAGGACTCTCAATGTCGTCCTGACAGTTACCAAACACGGCCTCATCTTCAAAAGATTCTTCGGTAACGGCATTTTCTTCAGAAAATCGTGACGAATTTTTTGGAAATTCCTCTCGGGATGTGTAAAGCTCGGTCGTTTTCTCCTGACGTAAGGATTCTGTTGCATATTTACACTCTGAATCGCTGTCATCTCTCCTTTCAGTTCCCTTCTTTTGGCTCACTGATCCCATTTCTTCAGCTTGGAGGAAACAAGTCTCTTGATGCCTTGAAAATAAAGCGGGTCTACCGATGGGTAACGAAAAGAAGCTACTCCTTTGACGCAACTTTATTTTAGCTGGGAAGTTCACAACGGAGGACTCCTCACAGATGCTAGGACTCTCAATGTTGTCCTTACCATTACCCAATTGGGTTTCATCCTCAAAAGATTCCTCAGTAGCTTCATTTTCTTCCGAAAATCCTAAGGAAATCCTGAGATGTTCCTCTTGGGGATAGCGAAGCAATGACGCACCCTTATCAATACCAGTTTCAATTGTTGCATTCTCACAGTCTTCATCTTTTGTGCAAGCCCCTGTGAACATAATAAAGTGTATTGTGACTGAGTGTGGTACCACCAAAATAAGTATTCACAACAGCCAATCAGAAGAAAGGAAATATCACATGGAGCCAATAAGAGTTTACAATACAAATAAGCACACTGCTTTGAGTGAAAGAAATTGCCAGTGGCCATGTTGTGATTGGTTTTTAAGTTTTGCATCTGATTGGCTAAGAGGGTGGATTGAGCTTTCTGGACCAGTCACAGAGCAAACTCACACCATAAGCAAAATGAGCAACATCCATGTTATTTTGGTACATTATCCAGCAAAAAAGTACTGGGTAATGACTCCCTTATCAGTCAAAAGGAGTCTTATGGAAGTACACCTGCAACACCAAATTCTAATGAAAGATTTACACAGAAAAGTGTACAGTCCTTATGAAACAGACAAAAGAGTTTTACAAGCAGATTTTAGTGGTTAAAGGGTTACAAAAGGAATTCAGTGGAAGTATTGTATCCAGTAACAGAAAGTTCACTTACCATTCTCTTCTTCTAAATCAGACCAGTCACCAATAAGTTCAAGGGAACCACAAGAAGAAGTTTCAGCATCAGCAAAGTAGTCACTTTGGTTATCATCATCCTTAGGTTGCATTCTTGATGATTCTTGTTCATCATTAGATACTGTTGTAAAATTAAGGAATAAATACATTTTACACACATTTCAACAATTTTAATTGATTAGTTTGTCACTTTTTCAAAGAATAGAGGAATGTAAGGAACGATGGGGTAAAAAATGAGCGTATCAAGACAAATATAACCCCAAGCCTTCAAATTTGCACTCCAACACCATTCCACTGACTTGCAGAGAACTTGCAGTGAGTTAAGTGTGTAGGCCATTAAAGTCCTGCACTCTATTGGGATAATCATGTGCCTGAATAAATAGCTATAACTTCCTGCTGGCAAACTCAGCCTTCAAGAATAAGATACTCACCAGTCTGTTTCTGAATATTGTCAACTGCTTGGACTAACTCTAACCAGTCACTTGTACCCAAAGCGACACTATTACTGTCATGTTCTTTTGACAATCTGAAAATAAAAATCAAAAATACTTTTGTAAGTCAAAGCATACAGTCATGTCACATTAATCAAATCATGTGACTACATTGCCAGACAAACAACAAGATGTGATCATCATTATTACTTTAAATTACCTCTTGTTTACATCTTGTAAGAACTCTGCCAACTCGTCATGGCCATTGGCTCTTGCAACATCCTCTGGCAGAGGCGTTCGATCCTTGTAACTGTCGAAGACAATTTTTCCAGCAGAGGTACTGAAGATCATTTGTAAAAACTGTTGAGCATCTTCTTGAGCAGCAGTATAAACAAGTAGCTGAAGGACTCTAAGAGACTGCCCCTGTTTAGCGTCAGGCAATGGGCCTGTGTGAAAGAAAAAAGTGAATAACACATAATTTTATTTTAAAATTTGATTTAGATAAATTGTAACTATTTCACTGTGTACAGCAAGTCTCCAAATGGTCTAGGATCAGTCTTTTCCAAATCCATGATATCAAGATGAAGATCAAAGAGGAACAGACTCTTACCCTCTGTTACTTACTTTGGTCTAAATGACTGTGAATATATGAAATCCATTTAAATGAACTGCGGATTAATAAATGAATATGAAAGCAATCTTTGCAGAAATGAACACCACTTGAACAGTAGTGAAAATATATAAGGCCTGACAAAAATTCAGGCCAATACGGGATTTACAACCATGACCCTTGCAATGCCACTGTACCCGTATCACCAAGGCCTAAATACTTTTCCAGGCCCTATTTTCACTAGTGATCAAATAGTGTTCATTGCTGCTAAGACTGCTTTTAAATTCACTTCTTAATCCACAGTTCACTAACATGATTTTCATATTCACATACCTTGGTCTGGTAAACCAAACAGACCCAGAGTCTGTGCAACATCACTATTGCTTCCAATGATTCCATGTGCCTGGGACCACATGGTTAGGAATAATGATAGTTGAGCAGGGTCCTCAATGAGCTGTTTTAAGGTCTCCCGCATCTCATCCACATACATAAAGTATGTAATTCCCAGCTTTCGACCAGCCTCAGTGTAGACTGTAATAAGAACAGGTCCAGCTTCTTGGGCAGCTGAAATGGAATAAAAACTTTTTTTTCCAAGCCAGACCCTTACTTTATTTATAGAGTAACAGAATTATGAAAATGCATATAGATTGATAGATGGCCAAACTGACCAGATGAAAGAATAACAGGGGTAAGTTTCTAAAGAAACTGTGGTCCAGCATCGGTAGGAGAGTATAACAGAGTAATTTAGTGTTATTAACTGAATTGACAATGTATACTGGGCACTGTAAATAGTTTAAAGGCTGACATTTCAAGCATTAGACCTTCATCACACTGACAATTTATGTTATCAACTCAGTTGATAACACTAAATTGACCAGATGAAAGACAGACAGACAGACAGATAATCAGAGGGATGTGGGTTCCTTACAGTGAGCTAAAGCTATCATCTACAGGAGTTTAAACCAACATCCTACAAAATAACTAACTATTCATTGACAAACAATTAACTTACCTGGAACAAACCCAGAGAAGGTGTAGGGGTTGGTCTTCTCCAAAAAGACATCACCTACTCCATCAAAGTGTGCCACACCTCTTGTGTCACTTTCAAGCAGCGCCTCTGTCAACATTATATGGAACTGAATTCCACCCTGAAAGCAAGACATGTATCAATAATGAAGAGAGATGGTAAATTTTCAGCTTTGTAAAGAATGGGGAAAGAAGAACTTTTCATCTTTTATCATAGAAATGATTATTTCTTGAACATGGTTACTGGAGATAATCTCCACTCTTCTAACAATACTATCACACAATGCATCAGTCCAGTATTATTTCACATCCCATCCAGAGAAGAGTAGAAATACCTTTAATCTCTACATGCTAAAGATTCAATGGGAACATGCTCAGACAGAAGAGACTTGGCCCATATATAATGTTAGTTTTATCCTGTTTTGAACCTTCAAACTGAATTTATTAATATAAGTTTAAAAGCCAGACACCTTTCGCCTTTATTCTCCCTTGAGTTAAAATGCATGAAAGCTTAACACACATATCAGCCAAATCAACAATCTTTGAAACATATCAAACCTCGCTACCAGTGCAAAGAACTGAGTAGGAAGTAACACATTGACAGAAAAAGAGAATCTACAGTTCACTATAACAACTCTAACTTTGAAATAGAAAACATTTTTCCAGACCAAAATGTATCAATCAAAGCTCTTTAAATGTTTCATCCTTGCGCTTGATTCAATTTGCAGATCACCAGGACAATTTCTAAAATTAATAAAATTACCTTCACAGAGCCTGATGATGGGGAAATATCTTGAACCACTGCAATAGATTAGAAGGAAAATTTGTAGAAGGAAATAAAAGAAATCAACTTTTTATTTTTTTCAAAATAATAAATAATAAACCATATAAAAAATATACCTCCAGGTTGGTCCACATCATTATCTGAGTTGGTACAGATTTCCTCCAGCGCTGAGTCTAAATCTTCAGCAGAAATGCCAAATATCTGTTAAGGCAAGGGTTATTTAATAGTTACTGTAGAAAACTTTCAAACCTTTCACTATAAATATCAAGACATTCTCAACCAGATGGTGATGAGAAGAACCAAAATGTCAACTAGGGGTTACTTTTGGATTAAAAAACAAATTCTCAGAGCTAAAAGTATCAGAAATATGAACAACAAAGTACAGAGAATCAAAATTTGGATCTTTGGGTTTGAAATGATTCATGACAAATAATTGATAAACCATGTGTACTTTTTTTAAACTGATAAGAAAAAAATTTATTTTCTTGTAGTAACTTTTTTCTAAAACAATTTCTACCGAGTGCCTGTCTCTCAGACTTGATCACTGTAATAAACATTCCAATCTCACATGCATAATAAACATGCACAGCATGTGTGTGATGGGGGGGGGGGGAAGGGAGAGATGGGAGTTTGTCCCATTGTCATTGTAATTGTAATTTCATGAACATATCAATTACAGCTGTTGTGATTTTTATTTACCTGAGATGGAGTTTCGATATTTGTTAGATCAACTGGATCCTCTCTCTTGATGTTGTCCTGGAGTGCTGTACCAGTTGCATTCATGTTGAGCAAATCTAATGAAATATCAGTCAAAAATTATTAATACTGACAATACCATGATGTCATTCATGTAACTGCAAAGTGCAATATCACCTGACCTTTTACATCTAGCAACAACATCTGTTGCTGCTCTTAGCTTCCTTAAGGCTAAATTCTACAAGTTTAGAAACATGACCCTCTATTTGTTAAATAAATATTTTAAACTCTTTAACCCATACATGTAAGAGTGACAAATATCTAATATCTCCTTAAAATATCACCACAGAATCAAATTAAAACATTAAGGTCACAAGAACAAATGAAATGATTACAAACTGTGAATGCTCATGATTGTTGAGAAAATTCTCCTTGTCAGCATCTTAGAAAATTTATGGAAATAGTATGGAGAATATACACACTGATGGAAGAGTGTAAAGGGTTATTATAAATGAATGATCAAATGATAAAACCCTGATCAAACAATTTTCCAAAACAGGCCCAAAATATAAAGTCACTATTACCATCAGAGACATCCATGGCTTCCTCAAAACCTGTGTCACTTGTGTCAGGAGACCCGCCTACATCAGGTGACGCTTGCAGTTTCTCATCAGCCTTAATTAGTGGTGTTTGAAAAAGAAAAAGGGGCATTAAATTTAAGGCAAAAAGTGTTTGAACTGATGCCATAATGATATTAAAACATTGCCCCTTTTCTATGCGTTATTGGAAGATTTCAGTATTGTCATATACTTTTTTTATTCTAAAACAAAGCCATAGACCCAAAGGCAAACTCTTGTTTCTCCCATTTTTACATTTTCCAAGAACTGTCTGAATAATGAAGTAGGTGGTTGTGCAAAAATCTTGCCCAAAACACATTAATTAAAACAAACAAACTGCTCCATGTCTGTCTAAGGCAGTAAGATAAATAATAGTTGTGATCATTTATAGACACAGGAATACTCTTCAAATAATATCCTTTATCTAAAAACAGAGCACAAGTTTTGAAAATACTAGGTAGCATACACCCGCCCTAAATATACTTGAGTTCTAGTGGGGTTTGTATCATATACCTCTGAAGATGTGCTGCTTGTCTCGTGATCACTGTCATCTGAAAGTTCCACTTTAGATCCAAAGAGTGACTGAAACACTTTAGGTGGCATCTGAAACTGTCTCTCTATGACTTCATCCTTGTCATTGATCTTTTTGCTTTCTTTGTACTCTTTTGCTCCATCTTTTTTGTAAATGTTGAGCAAGGCTGCCCTCAGACCATTGCTAGCCTTCCTCCTATTAACGTTCTTGCTTTTAAACTGAGGATTTTTCTTGGATTTGTAGATGGCATAGCGCTCCAAGGTACTGGACCAGTTTAGGACATAGCGCCCCTTTTTATTCACAAATTTGGCATCTTTTCCTTCGCGAATCAAATCTCCGATGAAACCATACACACCATGGCCACTTGAATCCTCGTTTCCTAAAAAATGTGTGTATTAAATATTTTTGTGAGAAAGAATCATATAAACATGAAGTTGAGTTGATATGTAAGTACCTAATATCCTACTGTAGTTTAATTTTCTTGTTAGTGTCAGACTGTTCCCAGCTTCACAAGTAAATTCTCTCCAAGGATTACCCAAATTCCCTGTTTTAGAAAGGTTTTGGGCATTTGAAGCCCTCAACAAACATTTGCAGAAAAAATTCATATGATCCAGAACAATTTACGCTACAAATCTCGTGAAGGCCAGCTCTCACTGACTTTTTAAAATACTCTACCAGCTGTATTGTCTAAACATAAGCAAATCTAGGAATCTGCCCAAGAATCCTTCTTAGAGGTAAAATAGACCTGTCATAAAATTAATAAGGAAGAAAAAGGACAAACTGTCTGAAAAATTGCCTTTTAACTCGAACTGTTCATGAGTGAGCACAAGTAATGATCAGATTCGCACGAGTTACAAATTGGCTACCAAAGCACTCGGCCGTCACTCGTTCACTTCCAGCTCAGCAAATGGTAAGCAACATACAGCCCAAAGCTTCCTCATTCGACAAATTAAAAGGACTCATAGGAAATTGCATCATTTTAACAATTCCTCGTGAAATCTTTACTTAGCTTATTTTTACGCTGAGGTAGCACAATTCGAACCAGTTTGGGAAAAGTTCAGTGTCGGCAGAAGAAAAAAGCGCATGAAAATTACTCACCCACTCTGGCTTCAGCCCCACGCTTAGGCATACCAGATCAGGTTTTAAGCTAGACAAATGGCCAAAAGTTTTCATCAAAATCAAAAGAATTCCGCGCTGGACCATCGATCAACCACTCTGAAGTACTAAAAGCTTTTAGATGAAATTATTCTTTCGATCTCTTATTTAAATCAAACATGGTGTCCAAGGTATTTTCTCGGGTCGTGATTGGTTGATATTACACTAACTGTCATCTGATTGGTCGTTCGCTTTTTGTACCCCTCCAAAACGGAAGTACTTTTTCTCCAAGCGAGGATAAATTTGGTAACATTACATCATGGCCTCTTGGAAGCAGAGAGGTAAAAAAATTGTTGCAGCTTTCGAATGGTTCCCTTTCATCGAAAGCACGCGCTATTGTACCGTTGAATGCTCACTGCTTCAGGAGTGAAGTCCCTTCTATAACATAAATGACTTGAAATAGTGAAAGTTCTAACGAAAATTATTTTGGACCGGTACAAGCCGGAAATAAGGATGAAAGCCTTCTAAAAAGACCACCAGTGAGAAAAATTTTTGATTGGAACCAGGGTTTCGGGAATCCCGGAACATAACGTGGATTATATGCAAAACGGGCAAATTCACAAGAGAAGTTTCGTGGCATTGCATTGTTTATCCAGAGTATCTGCGAATAACTGTGCCCTATTATCCAAACGGACAAAGAAGAGTAAATATAACGCGCGAGTAGAGTACAAACATCCTACGATATTGTACGGTTTTTTGGACAGTTGATGATTTTGCACTGTAAAAAAAAAACTTGTTTATAAACCCGTCGGCTGCGCGTGCTATCCTTTTCTACCTGCTTTGCTTTTCCCGCCTTATGAGAAATGGGCAGAAAGACTTAGCAGAAAAAAAGCAGTTTGATAATAAATAACTTATTAGACGTTTTCGGGAGCTCCTGACGTTTTGGTTTGTAGTATCACTGAGTTCATTCGTTGTTTGTATTTTGACTAGCCTTCCGCGCTTGTCAAAATTCGGCGCAACTCGTAAAGATACTCAGCGATACTACTCACCAAAACGTCAAATAAACTTGAAATAGTTTAATTTCTTTTGAGTGAAAGTTGTAATCGAAAATTATTTTGGACCGGTACAAGTCGAAAATAAGGATAAAAGCCTTCTAGAAAGACAACCAGTGAGAGGAATTTTTGATTGGAACCAGGGTTTCGGGAATCCCGGAACACAGTGTAGATTATACGCAAAACGGGCAAATTCACATGAGAAGTTTCGTGGCATTGCATTGTTTATGCAGAGTACCTGTGAATAACGGCGCCCTATTATCCAACTGTACAAAGTAGAGTAAGAATAACACATAAGTAGAGTGCAAAGAAAAAAAGCAGTCGGATAATAAATAAGTTATTTTACGTTTCAGGAGCTCCTGACGTTTTGGTGTGCAGTATCACCCAGTATTTTTACTCGTTGTTTGTATTTTGACTCGCCTTACGGGCTCTTCAAAATTCGGCGCAACTCGTAAAATACTCAGCGATACTACACACCAAAACGTCTCATAAACTTGAAATAGTTTCATTTCTTCTGAGTGAAAGTTCTGACCGAAAATTATTTTGGACCGGTACAAGCAGGAAATAAGGATGAAATTCTTCTAGAAAGACCAGCAGTGAGAGGAATTTTTGTATGGAACCAGGGTTTTGGGAATCCCGGAACATAATGTGGATTATATGCAAAACGGACAAATTCACATGAGAAGTTTCGTGGCATTGTATTGTTTATCCAGAGTATCTGCGAATAACTGTGCCCTATTATCCAATTATCCAACTGCACAAAGTATAGTAAAATAACGCGCGAGTAGAGTACAAATATCCTACGATATTGAACGGTTGTTTGGACAGTTGATTATTTTGTACCTTAAAAAAAACCTGTTTATCAACCAATCGGAAGTGCACGCTACGCTTTTCTATCTGCTTTGCTCTTCCCGCCTTATGAGAAATGTGCAGAAAGATGACTGGAAATATATGAAAATCATATATGTGCACTGCGGTGAAGAAATGAGATCTAAGCGATCCTCGCAGCTATGAATACTACTGAACTAGTAGTGGAAATGAGACCTGAAAAAAAATCGAAGAGAAAAATGCAGTTGGATAATGAATAACTTTTAAGAAGTTTTGGTGTGTACTATCACTGAGTATTTTTACTCGTTGTTTGTATTTTAACTCGCCTTACGGTCTCGTCAAAATTCGGCGTAACTCGTAAAGATACTCAGTGATACTACACACCAAAACGTCTGGTAAAATATATATATTTATATATATATATATATATATATATATATATATATATATATCTATTGGAGGACAGACTTATAGATGACGTCATCATTCAAACTTTTTTCCGTATATTTAATTCTTTAATTCTTCGGCTGTGCCTCGTGTGCCACTTTTTTGTTCTTACCACATTTTGACGTCATCAGTATACTGAACGAATCTAGTTTTGAGCAAAAGAATAAAAAAAATTAAATGATGACTCATATATGGCGGCTTGAGTTCAGAACCAGCTTATTATATAAATTCATGGTTATATATATATATATATATATATATATATTATATATATATATCTGTTTAACCCTGCGCAAAATCCCTAGGCTTTTGGTGAGTTTTGAATCAGTTCAATAATTTCTCCTTCTGGCGGCTTGATTCCACCAGCCTCCCATAGTTACTCTTGGCAAATTTTGATTTGAATCAAACATTAAGGTCAGGAGAATAAAGGAGCTCATCACCGACTAAAAGAGCTTTGATTGTTTGACAAATTCTCCAAGTCGGCATCTCAGGATATGTTTGGAGAAGATACTTACTGATGTTAGGGTGTAAAGGGTTAAGAAAATTTATAGTTTGGGCATGAAAGAGGAATATTAAGGTTGTCGCTGCGACTGCTGTCGTTTTGTCAACTGAAATATGACACCGAGTTCCAGTACACAGTGGGGGGGGGGGGGGGGGGGGGAGGGGAAACCAAATGACTCATGTCTGCGACGCGTACAAAATAAAGTGGGACGGAAAGAATTTTTTAAAGAGGGGTCACACTTTGCTAACCCAGAGTTCACACCAAGCAATTTACAAATGGGAAACCGTGGTGAAAGAAAACAAAAGGCTGGCTAAAACCCAAATTTCTACCGAGGGGTGATTGATCGATATACTGTAGCCTACGTGTAGCCGTACCCTCCCTCCGCCAAGGGGAAACGGAGGCGAGCGGGGGAGGGTACGTCTACACGTAGGCTACATATGCTGCCGAAATGTGATGGGGGGTGGTAGTCGAATGAAAGCAGGTAGCACGAAAAACTCTCCAAAACACCTGGGTGTGGGTGCCATCAATGTGATTTTTATTTACAAAAAAACGGAGAGACTACGCGGCTGTTATTAGTCAACAGATATTTTTATTAGAGAGTAACTACTGACATAAACTTGTAACACTTTAGATTCGCGCATATTTTGAGAAGTATTTTAACACAACATAGTAGTAGGATTAATTTTTTTTCACCGGTCTTCGCCGAAAAAAAGATACTGCATGCAGTGGCAAACTAAGACACCAAAAAGAGATAGATGCAGACAACCAAGTCGATTTTTCCCCATTTATGTCAAGTTAAAGGAAAGACGAGATGGTGGTGTTGACAGGACGGTTGTCTATCAACCACTTCCACATCGCTTGAGAACCCGTGAGACGAGAGCGTCTAACACAAAGCTAAATAACCCTTCTGTGAAAGACGTCAAGTAACTTTGAGTTTGTCTAAGTGTCCAGAAAAAATTTAGAGGGGAAATTTAGGAACAAAACAAGCCTCGCTAGGCTATCCTATCAACCAAATCAACCTTTGGGTGCAAAGGCAAAGAGCTGACAAACAAAATGTCCTCTGGTCCTCTGTTCCCACTGTTACTCTGGTCCTCTGTCAGTACTGTTCCACTGTCCCCACTGTTCCTCTGGTCTTACTGTACTGATCCTCTGTCACCACTGTTACTCTGGACCTACAGTTCTGATCCTCTGTCCCCACAGTTCCTTAGGTCCTACAATATTGATCCTCTATCCTTAGTGTTCCTCAGGTCCTAGACAGGGTTTTCATTTACTTTTGAAGTAGAAGGGCACTACCTTGTGAGTGGGCAGGTGCACTGTAAAATTGAGGGCCGAAGGCCCGAACCTCTTGGGGGGTCTGGGGGCATGCTCTCCCCTCGAAACGTTTAGAACTAAAGTCTCCCAGAAGCACATTTTACTGCAATCTGGTAAAGAAATTTTCCTGGAATGACTCATACTTACTCTAATTATAGTAAAAGAAATAATGGTACTCTGGGAGAATTTGTTTATTTCACTACACAGCTATAGCTACGTCAAAACACTGCTCTTGTTCTCAGAGCTTCCTTTCTTCTTGCAGTTACAAGTTTGCTTTAACTGATAAACTGATAAAGAGTGAAACTGACAACACTTTTTGTAGTTTAAGAAAATTCAAAGTCAGAGCCCTTGTCAATTACGTTAATGCCTTTGGTCACCATGCGCCACCTAGCAGTTAAAAATTAAAAACAAATCTTGATGGAACATTGGAGTCTGATACACAATTAGCCCTTGCCGAAAACAATTTTTACAAAACCTCTGATGGGCTTTACAAAAGCCACATGGACTTTATCTTGAATGAAAATTAAATTGGAACGTTTCTTTCAATTGCTCGGAATATTTAAGCTTTAAAGCCAACAAAATGTTGGCTTATTGAGACGCACGTGTCAACTGATGAGCATCTTTTACGGCGACATTCATCTCCTGTTGTTTATTTTATATTCCGAATTGTATTTCAGAAAAATACAAAGTGTTTTAGAACAGTTTAAATAATGGAAAACGTAGAAAGCGTACGTAATTTTTCGAAAAACCTTTCCAGCGGCTGTAATCGAATTAAAACTGGAAACATAAATTTAATTTTTCTTGTGCAAATGAGTTCTTGCACGAGTTTTACATTTGTTTGCCACGATGACTCCGCAGAACGCCTTGCCTTTATGGCACGTCACGTGTAAGAGTTATAAAATAGCAAATTTGGCACTTTAGGAAGAGACAGTCCTAAGAACGCCATTATCGCGCAGCGCCTTTTTCATTCAAGTAAATTTTATCTCCACGATCTGATGGCAAGTAATTGATAAATAAGTGCAGAAAAAATGTTTTAAACTTACAGGGAAGAGTTAATATTTAGATGAGGTTGATAATTTTTTTCATGACGATTTTCTTTTTTTCATTTCGTACTTTAAGTAGCCGGGTACTCTGATCAAAGTAGACGGGTGCCGGTACCCGGCTTCTAATAAAACCCTTGGTCCTTGAGTGCTGATCCTCTGTCCTCACTGTTCCTCAGGTCCTACAGTACTGATCCTCTGTGCTCACTGTTCCTCAGGCCCTCAATCCTCTACCGACCTTATATCTGCAGTTATGAACCATTTCAGATTCCATCACATGAAAGATCAGCCCTGCTGCTGAGGTGATGATCAGTCACTTTTCCGATTTCCGCTTGTCTCTTCACTTCGTCCCGTCTTTTCTGCGGACGGATGCTGGTCAAATTGCAAGCTTTCGCCGACAGATAACGGGTCTTGCTGCGGATCATCTGGCCCTATCTCCGGTCGGTCACGACAGGTATCATCAGGCTCCTGCTCGTTTACACGGCACAAAACTGAATAGAAATTAAAACACAGAGTTTCGTTTAGTTTTGTTTATGTACAGGTAGACCAAACTCGAGCAACGAGCCTCCCTAACATGAAAGGATTTGTACGAGGTGAACGGTAATAACCTTAACCCAAAAATATGGATGCATATTATTGCTTTATTGCCTTCCCGTCAGTGAAAACTAAAAGCCACGTTTAATCAGCTTAGAAAAATGGCAAGAAACAAAAGGATGGCTTGATTTCATTCAATCCTCGTTCATATTTTTAGGTCAGAGACGCGACCTTTCACTCTCAGGCAGAGCCTTTTAATTTACCTAATAGTAAAATCGGTCATATCTCTGCGGAGCTCGCGCTTTTTTATATTCGAACCGAGCATCCTGCATTGTCGCAACGACCGCTTTTATAGGATGACGAAAGAAGCGACGACAAACGGAACTCGAAATAAGTTTCGGCGAACGATGGTAGAAATATAGGTTAGAATTACCGTTCAATACTAAAAAAACCTTTAAGAGAGAGGGAGGAATATCTTAAAGATGTGAAAACTATTCGTCATTGGCCAAACCAGTAAGATACCCGCATTAATTACAACCACGAATTCTGCACACTGCAAAAATCGTCTATTTAACGTAATCAGGGAAACAAACAGCAGAAGTATTTATACTCAATTACGTATAGAATTAATCCAGAATTAAATTGGTTTTACTCTTCTAGACAACTAGAAAACTTGTGTTACCCTCTCAACCAATCAGATGCAAAAGTAAAACCACTTGCAACCAGATCACTCTCATTTTCCGGTGCTTTGTACCATTTATTTGTTTCTACCCTGAGCTCTGATTGGCTCCTTGAAATGTTTTACTTTGTTCTTATTGGTTGATATTATTTTGGTGCTGATTTTACAACTCTTACAGTGAGTTTTTCCTTTTCGTTCCCAAAGAATTTAATTTTCAAAGATTCTTATGAAGAGGAATTACAGTTTTCACCCATGAAAACAATATGTAAATGCTAATAACTGCATGTGCAACGAATATAATGCCTCTGAAAATAGCAAGTTTAGTGATATTGATAAACTTGTCATGTTATACGACAGTTACCAATAGTCAATAGAGGGTTTAACACTCTTATCTATAAATCAGTGACGTGCAGCTTGCCTCTGCATACCTCGACTAGGTAAGAGATTTGAAATAATAACATTTCTGTACTTTTACTTGATATTCTCCAGCTTGAAAAGTAATGTCCAAGGATTGCTAAACTTGCACTAAAACAATTAGAAAATCGACTTTCTGTTCCTGTGCGTGATAGTAGATTCGAGCTTCGCCCTCACCTTCTATCTCATGGTGATACCTTCAGCTCAAAAGTCCAATTGTTAATGAGCATGACAGTGAAGAAAGGTAGAGACCACATTATTGATATTCTATTGCACTGTACCACTTACAACTGCTTGGAGTTGACAGGTTGCCAAGTTCTTGATTTATGCCAGTATCGCCACTGTACAACATTACCCGTTCCATTTCACTCACTTGTTGGTCATCACCAACATCGCCTCTCTTCCGCATTGGTTCTGAATTGGGAAATATCAGGTCAAAATTAGGTCAAGATCGAAATTCTATCGTTACACTCACTCACTCATGGGGCTATGCCTTCTATTGCAAATTATTTTAAACCAAACATGTGAAGGCCAGCTCTTATTGAATTTTTGAAACTCTATCCAGTTGTATTGGTAATCTAGGAATCTGCTCAAGAATACTAAAAATGAGACCAAGAACCCCAAGACCTTTTGGTATTCCTTCAGTCAATTTAATCTCAACAACGCAAGTTTTGTTAATAGTATCTGATCTTGTCCTATAAAATATCAAATTTCCAAGTAAAAAAAATATCTCTGGTTTATGAGAACATACTGACCCAAATTTCAGTTTTTCGAGTCTTAAAAATGACCATCAACCATTCAGAAGAGGAGCCACAGATTCCATACTAAGAAAACTCCTCCAACATCTCCTGAGGAGATGTTGGAGGAGTTTTTGTTGGAGTTTTTGTTGGAGGAGTTGTTCTTAGTCTCCTAATCAAATCAAATCAGATAAAAACTGGTAACAAAATGCTTTCCATGGATGGATAAACAAACTCAACACCTTAAGACAAGTTAAGTAATATACCAGCAGTAATTAGTCTCACATATCTAGTACATTACCCTGGTTTCCATTGTCTGATGAATCAGATGACGAGTCTTCATCATCACCATCATATCCACTTTTGCTTTTTGTGCATTCTGTAAAACAAAAAGAAATTCTTATTGTTATAAATTCACACCACTTTCAAAACCCTTGGGGCAAAATCTTGTGAAGGTCAGCTCTTACTCGAGTCTTGAAATACTGTATCCGGTTTTATTGTCTAAACAGACATAAAGCTAGGAATCTGCCCAAGATGCCATGACTGGGGGGATTAAACAAGTTTCTGCGTGCCTCAGTACATTCACTTGTTCACACTTTTGGCAGTTCTCTCTTTCTTTGTTCTGATTGGCTATTGTGATTACTTTGGTTGGATGGCTTGCCTAGATTTATTAGAGCATTGTACCAGGGGTGGTACTCGTTGAACTGCATCCGTTGTACTGGTTCCAGGTGGGTGTGTAACACAAAATTTGTCTCAAAAGTTTACTGATAACGGGTTGAAGAGCTCGCCAGAATCAACATCATTACAATTATAATAGAACATCTTAACAACAAACCGGGTGTAGTATCGGTATGATGTTGGTTCAAGAGAGTGAAAAATAACCTCTGCAAGTTGGGATCATCCTTCAGCTTCTCAAACATATCTCGAGTCTTGTCCAAACACTCAAACCAAGTTTCTCCAAGGTGGTCACCAGCTGAGGATGTTACTCTCACCTTAACTTTGCCAGGTTTTAAAGGAGCTGAAGCTCAAATAGGAAAAATATCGTGTCATACATAATGTAAATGGATGTATTTCAGAAGAGTGAAAATTATTTGAACGTCTCACGGCCCAACGCTGCACCCCCAGTCGAGAGGTCTGGGTTCGAGACCTGGAGAAACAGCAAACAGTCCGGAAAAAGTAAGCAAATTTCCGAGCGTTAGCATTTTTTTAGACTAGCTTTCCTTGTAGGGGGTGTGGTGATACTCCCTGTCGTGTTAAACCAAGGGATGTAAGATGAGTACTGATGGCAACGGGATAATACCCTTGATACTAAATAAAGGAGTCTACAAAATCTTTTTGGCGAAAATAGTTGGTTCTTAGTTTTGATCTTTCTCACATAAGTTACAAAAGGCACAACACAGATCTTTTTAGGTTATGGAAGGCATGGAATGAAAGGCTTGATGAGAAACGCTGCTTCCTAGCAACGGGAAAGACAGAAACACTTGATACATGTACTTACCAGGAACAGTGCCAATCAGATTAAAATCATTCTTTTTTTTCAGTTTTACCACCAGCATGTCGCCAAAGCTTGCATAGGCATCTTTGACATCATTTGGAAGGGCCTCGGGAAAAACCATGACGAACAGCATTTCATGCTGTAATAATTGCTGAAACACACAATGGATGATTAAGGCTTCATCTGGGTGGCTATGTGATATAAAATAGGTCACACTAGGCCAGTGTCACATTATGTTATGAAGAGCGATCTGTCACGCCATGTAGAAAAAGGGAGATCTGTCACGCCACATACCGTTAAACAAAGAATGATCTGTTTTTTTATGCTTCCCGCTGTCTGCTGTTTCAATACAGTGTCTAGCCAAAGAGTATGTGTATCTGATAAAAAAATATCAAACCGAAAGACACACAAAGAGGTGGGGGTTTATTTAAGTTACATTTCTGCATGCAAGTTATCTGCCAAGTAATTGCTAGGAGAATTTTTTCGCAGCTGTGCACAAGCAGTAACAATAACTTAGAAAATGATTAACAAGGTGGTAATTACATCCATTCCATAGAAGGACACTCAACCCTTTAACCCCCAGAAGTGATTAACATGTAACTTCTTCCCCACAATATTCACACTTGGTTCAGCAAACAGGTAATGAGAATACTCAAACTTATCAGGTAGAAGTTGTTATTGTAATCTAACACCAAATTCTCCAAACTAAATTACAAAGTAATGTGTAACAGCTTGAGGGGAGAATTAAAAATCAGACCCTGGGAGTTAAAGGGTTAAGGGAAATAGCCATCGGATCTTACAATCATCAAGAAAAAAAAAGAAAGAAAAACAAATACTAAAACAACAACAACAACTACAAAACAAAACATGTCCAATTCCTCTTAATTTTCTCAAGTCAAATACGAGGAATTGCCACACATTCACCACAAAGCAAAAGTCTTTACCGTAATGGATATTTCCTTTGGCTCCATTCTAACTGTAAATAAACAAACATAATGTTTGTTAGTCTAAGGAAAAAACCTGGACAAAGTAGAGTCAATGTAATTCAACCCCATCTCTCTACTTTTAAATTGATGACTTCTGCAGCCTGAAAAGTGATGTTCAAGGAGTGGTAGACTTAATTAGAAATCAACTTTCTATTCCTGTGCATGATGGTAGATTCGAGCTCCACCTCATCTACTATCTCATGATGGATGTCTCTAGCTCATAATCTAATAATAAGTGTGACAGTGACAGTGGAGACCATACTATTGATATTTTATTACATTGTATCACTTACCACAACTTTGAGTTGTGGTTGCTCCAATGCCATAACTAAGGTCTGAAACGTCCTCAAGTTCTTGTGTTATGCCAGTATTGCTACTGTGCAACATAACCCCTTGCATATCATTGACTTGTTGTTCATCGCCAACATTGCTTCTCTGGGACATTGGTTCTGAATCAGCCCTTCCTTCCTCATTTTTAACTGTGAAAAAAACAAAACAAAAAAGTTTAAAGCAAAGTATTCTAATGACTTGACTTAAAAAGTTTTGGGCATTTTACAAACCGTCAAATATATATGTACATTAATAAAAAAATACACAGTCAAAGTCTGCACATGGCTACGGCCATAACAAAATTTTTATAGCAATGAAAAGAACTAAAGGTTGTATAATAACAGTAGAAGGTAGTGTTGCAGAATATTTGTCACATGCAAAACAGAAAACCTGCTGCATCCCACATATTTATAAGTACACTATTCTATCAGAGAAAGATGAATATATCATTTAATTGACATCCAACAAATAATTAGATGGTAACAAATAATATCATTAACAACAATAATCACAATGATAACAATAATAATAAAACAATTATATATACATATTAGAGGCTAGCTCAAAAGACTCATTGTTCCCTAATCCTTTGGTCTCCAACAGTGATTACTTCACTGTTACTTTAATTTTGCCGGTTAATCATAAATAAATTTCCTAATATTATTACAATTCCTTTCTTGAGAGTTTTGTTTCATACAAAAAGGCATTTTGCATTGAAGGACATTCCATCATTCCATGTCTTAAGATATTCCATCATTCTACCAATCCCCTGTTCCTCAATTCTATAATTCTGTTGAATAACTCGAGGTATCATATTTTGCAGCTTGCTTGCAAATTTAGCTGCTCTTTTCCGCATAAGTTGCTGATTCAAACTGTAAAATTCTCTTTTTTCAAAGAAAAAATAATTCATCAAGGCTTCCATGATGTGCAGATCACATCTATTGTGAAATTTCTGCAAAGAAAGTCTGGATTTAAATTATGTGTAGATGGATACCATTGTGAAATTATTTTGACAAGTTTAGTCTCTTTTAGTGTCACAGGAGGAACTAAATAGTTCATATCTTTGGATCTCTATAAT